TCCGGCCCCCCAAAAGATCTCATGTGAACATCAAATGGGCGTGGCCTATTTTCTGAAATAGCGCCCCCTAGGTCCATTAAAACTGTCAGCCCCAAGCCATGCTTTGACTGAGGAGTACGAAATTTGGTACACTAATGTGGGGTCTCAGGACCTACAAAAAAGTCTCTTTGAGCCAAGTGCAAAGTCGCACAGGAAGTCGGCCATTTTGGTCCAATTACTCGATTTAGTGGTTTTCACACACGTTATTAGGAGAATGATGTCTCGTCGTCCTTTCCACCTATCACCTTCAAACTCCTGCTATATAATCTTAAGACATAGAGGAAAAAATTCAACCGTCGGATTTTATACAAGTATAAAGGTGTGGGCGTGGCTAAGCCTCAAACTTTGACCTTTCGCCATTACATTACTTGACTTAACAACTCCCATGTGCATGATCAGATCTATATCAAACTCCGTCTGTGTGATCATTGACCACATCTCAAGACAATGACAATGTGGACAGCTGACATCACCTATGCCCCGCCCCCTGACTACAGGAAGTCTATTTTTTAATGGTGAAATGCCCATATTTGTCCCCTCTACTTTAGTCAACATGACACTAAGGTCATGCACTGTCTTCATGATGTTGTAATGACCATTCAGATCTGATAGCTTTTCAGAAAGGGAAGGGCTTTGATGCCACGGCGAATTCTGGCGTGACGCCGTGACCTTACGTTTGACTGTAACTTCCACTAACAACCTCCGATCTGCCCGAGACTGAACATGGCAATCAACAATCATGCCCTTTATTCAACGAGGCACACACCGTTGGTGAAAGTTGTGTAATGTCACCACAGCGCCCCCTACACACCATTAAAACTGTAATAACTCCTACAGACGAGGTCGTAACTGCACCAAACTTGCTATGTGTACTCACACAATGGCACCCACCACAGTCCTGTGGTAAGTTGTTGATATTGCTTTAGCTCCGCCCCCTGACAGATATTAGGCCCTTAATAACACATGCATGATGCAATTCACACCAAACTGCACACAAATGACTGTCATCAACCTACAAACTTCTTCATGGAATAATTCTTAAATTTGGGACAGCGCCCCCTAGATACAAAAAACCTTTGTAACTTCTGCAAAAAAGTTCCAAACTACATCAAACATTGTGGGAGTCATCACACATCTGCAATCAACACATGTATGTGATCACTTGTTCAATTCACTTTAACTCCACCCACTTACAGCTTTTTGTCTCTAGATGACCCATGCAACGTTTGATTGATTCCAAATTAACAGAAAACCATCTTTGATGACCAAAGATGACCTCTATGGCATTTACTTGTAAATGGTCACAACGCCCCCTAGATGGGTTCAAACTTTATTAACTTCTAAAGTCAAAGTCAGAATGGCATTATACTTGGCTTGTGACATCACGTGACTGCACCAAACACATTGATGTGGTTGTTGATTCAAATCCCTGTAGCTCCGCCCCTTTCAGCTCACTGGCTTTAGCTAACACACACAACGTCCGTTTGATGCCAAAATAACAGAAAACTGTCCTTGTCAACCAAAGCTGACCTCAATGGGATTTTTCTGTAATTGATCACAGCGCCCCCTAGATAACTTTAACTTTCGAAAACTTTAATAAATATGGGCAAAAAAGCACTAAAGTTGGTCTGTGTCATCACACCAACAGTGTGCTAAAGATAAAGTATGCCCTAGTGGTGAGACATGTAATATAATGGTAGGCTCGGAGGGGATGCTGATTCAGGGTGAGGTGTGGATGAGGTGACTGTTAGCTTTTCTTGGTGTCAGGGTGGTGGACGTTTCAGTCCGTGGACGTGCCCTGGTGCCCCGTGCTGCCGGCCAGGACGGAGCGGCGGGGAGTTGGGTTTGGAGAGCATCGGGGATGGAGCGGAGGGGGTGCGGAAGGAGGGTGAGCATCTTCGCTGCGAGGGCCGAACGACGCTGCTTGCAGCTTTAATTTGTATATGTTTTCATGCTGGGGATGCTAAACCCCCAGTCACTAGGTGGCAGCAGTGCTCAGACTATTCAACAGGCTGCCTGTTTAACCTGAAATGAAAACAGATGCCTCATTGGGTGCTGGAGGGTGTATCACCATCACCGCCATATTGGGTGGGTCTCTTCACTTTCCAAACCCATGTGGAGTCACCGCAGGATGAGCAACTATGCCTGTTTACCAGAAAGAAAATTGTAAGAACATTACAAAATAAGATGAAGGCCTCATAATGGCTAATTTAATAGATTTCCCTTCTCAGTCCAGCATTAAACTAACTGCTGGGAAAATGACTACAGCTCCACAATAAGAATAAATATCAGTTACAACTAATGCACCTGTGCACAGGTGTTTCTAGCATAAACCTGTGTGCATGCCCTGCACCTGGGTCTGTTCAGAGTAAAAGAACAATCTAATTAACCTGCTAATATATAATTGTGGGTAGCTTGGTTAGCTAAGCTCTTATCTGAATCACAATCATTTTATTGCCAAGTGAGCAGTTTCACATGACCAGGAATTTTCATCAGTGGAATGGTGCACACATACAAATTAAGGCAAGTCACAAAATTAGATAAGAAAATTAAGAAATAATGGGAAATGATGCACTTGGGGGCAAAAAAAAAATGCATATTCGCTAATGGAAGGGAAGTAATTGAGAAATACTGGCCTAATCCAACATGGCCACCACAGCTAATCAAAATGAAAGAAGAAGAAAAAGAAGAAAAGTTAACTTGAATAGCTGAAAATGCTGTAATTTTACGAGTTTTGTAGACATTCATTTGAAATGAGGTGAGATGGGTGAGTCGTTCTCATCATGTGGTTCAGGTTGAACTTCTTTCCTTAAAACCTTTGTTAGAAGTTGGGGTCAACCCTGGTTTTCTGAACCACTGGATGGGTTTGAATAGACCTCAGTGCACAGCACTCTTACACTGTCAGTTCTTTCATTTCCTTAATGATATTTTGATGTTTTTCACATTATGATCTTTTTGTTTTGTTGATCTTTCCTTCTGTGATAAGTGCTACAAAAACGTAGTTCTTACTCTGGTCTGCTCAGAAGGACGCTGGGGCCCCACGGACCATAAACCCAGGCTAATAAACATGTTGACCCAACATCATTTTGTGGTTTGCCCCAAGAAAAAAATGTGGCCAATCAGAAAGCAAGGTGACTGAAGCAAGCTTCACAGAGCAATGCAAATCCAAATCCTCGTCCGCCATATTTATTTCTTTTTTTGTGCTTGCATGTCCCATAACCTCTACTGTACCATCAGAGCACTTGTTCCAGAGCAGGAAACATTGCATCAAAGCCCTGGGAAGCCCAGTGGTGAGCATGGATATGCTCACTTTCCTCCTTATCAACCACATGCTCCTTTAGCATGAGTTACGTAGCTCACACACGAGACGTTGTGGATGTTAATAACTGCTGTTACATGTTTTATAGGAGTCTGCTTCCTTGTTTGAGATATTCACTATTATGCCTCGTTTTGGGCTTATTTACCTTTATAAAAGGTGAAATCACTGAAATGTAATTTTTCTCATCCTGTTTTTGCAAAACTGAAGAGTTTGCTTGCACTTAAACGCATTTTCTGCATTTTTAAGGACCAAACTTTTATTTCATCATCAAGAAAAGGAATATTTTGCTTAAAGTCAGCTATAGGGTAGCTTAGAAATCTAGGTGAACTGTAGCAGTAGTAAAAGCTTTTGCTCTGCAGGTCAGTCTAACGTGCGCAGTGGTTAGCACTGTTCCCTCGCAGCACGAAGGTTGCAGGTTCGAAACTCGGCGGCGGCCTTTCTGCGTGGAGTTACGTGTTCTCCCCATGCATGCGTGGGTTTCCTCTGGTTTCCCTCACAGATCACAACATGCCCCATAGGTTATAAATTGTAAGTCGCTTTGGATAAAAGCGTCTGCCAAATAAATAAACATAAATAATGTCTTTAATTACTTTGCTTGATTAATCCTCTAAATAATCACTAGTCTACTCGATTACTGTAATAATCAACCGTAAGAAACGTAGTCTTAATAAAAATCCTTGTGAAATAAAAAAGAATTTTGCTGTTTTGGGAAAACATTTGCAGATGATCTGTGAGCTAGATCGTTTTAGTCCAATAACACGGGTGTTCCAGACATCCCAGAGTAATGACACTAAAGGATGGAGCAAAGGTGACAGAAGAGTTAAGTGCTTTAGGGTTGCAGGTACGAGTCCCATCTATCCCTGTTGTGTCCTTGAGCAATACACTTTACCATCCATGCCTGCCGGTGGTGGTCAGAGAGACCGGTGGCACCAGTTTACGGCAGCCTTGCTTCCGTCTGTGGGCCCCAGCACGTGGCTACCATGTAGCTCATCACCACCAGCATGTGAATGTAGGTGGGTGAATGGCTGGTAAGTTGTAAAGCACCTTGGGGGGCGTAGAACCCAACAACCATTTATCATTATAACCATTTATTTTTATGGGGCGACGGTGGCACAGGAGTTAAGTGCTCGCCCCGTAATCGAATGAAACAAAGATGGCGACGGCTCATGTGAAACCGTTTTGGCATCATCTTTGGAGCATTTTTTCATCTTATGCGACAGCGTGTGGCGGACTGCCCTGTTGACCGACATCCGCAGCGGTGAGTCCGTAACGTCGGTTGTCCAGTAGCAGTGTAGATTCTGCCCTGCCACTGAGAGCCGTCAAAGGGTCATGGACAGACTGGCTCGCCAGGCTAGGAGACCACAACGTACTTTAGAAATGTTCCTCAATTGAAATCAGACCTGAGAATCTGATTTGACACGTAAAACGAATGCTTGATCCAGATTGCCAACAGTGGCCTCTGCTGTTGAACAAACGCACATAAAAGCCCAGCTGGAGTGTAATTCTGGTGGAGCTAGCATCATGATTTCTGTCAGCCTGGCTTTAAAGTGGTCCTGAAGCTTAAAACCGTTCTGGGTTTTCCTTTAACCGTTGCAGCTTTAGTTGTTCATAAGGTGTTTCAAAAAGAAAACTGACGTTAAAATAAATGTTTTCATCCATTTATTTATTATTGTTATAAATAAAAGGAAGATTGTTTAGTTAGTCCTGCCTCTGTGACATTTGAGCCTAAAGATTTCATAATAAAACCAGTTATTGATCTGATTTGGAAACTGTGTCTTCAGTTTGATGGACAGAAGTAACAAAACTACGGAGCACATGAACAAATAAATGTTACGGATTCATTTAATGACCAAATCTGTACAGTTCCTGATGTTGTGAGGCAGGTAAACGCATCATCAGAGTAAACAACAGCCAGGAGAGCAAACAGAAAACATGTTTTGTTGGCATCAACCAAGTTCTGAAACCAGTAAAAGTCCGTCCTCTGTCAGATTCCAAACTGTTTAGCTCTCATCAGCCTCCAGATTGATGTTATTTCCAAACTTAGCGTAGAGCTGGACCTTCAGATCACCCAACACCTGCTGAATCGCTGACACGCGTTTCTCAAGGCCTTTGACCTCCTGCTCCAGAGTTTCCTGTTGACAGAAGATCCACATTTCAGTTAACCACCAAAACGGTTACGAGTAGAGCCGAGTTCTGACACATTTGGTAGGCACTACTGATGAGCCTTTTCAGTGCCAAATTTGAATACCTTCTGATAATCGTCTGTTATTGAGCCGCACATGACTGGGGTCTCACTTACATGCAGCATTACTGAGAGAATGCAGAAAACAAGCCACGGTGTAGCAGCGTTTAATGAAAGTAAATGGCTGTGGTGAGATTTGTTGTCCCTTCCGACGAGAGGAAATAGTTTTTTTATATTCTGTCTCTTTTGCATAAGGAGTTTCTTTCCTGGTCCTCTGAGTTCATGTTGATGTAAACTGCCTCCGCTGTGGACAGAGACACTGGTACTCATACGGTTTCCATGGTGGGACTGAACCTTGATTAGAGGTGTGAATCTTCACTTGTCTCCCGATTCAACTCGATTACGATTATTGGGTCAACGATTCAATTCGATTCGATATCCCGATGCATCACGATTAGGGCTGAAACGATTCCTCGAGTACCTCGAATAATTCGAGTACAAAAAATCCTCGAGTCAAATTCTCTGCCTCGAAGCTTCGTTTCATTCATGTTTAATTAATTCATGGCTTTGCAATCACCCGGGGTCATGTTTCACCCGGACCGAGATAAGTGACGCACATACACACTGCACTGAATGCACACGCGAGTAGCGAACGCAACTTAACTTTCTCTTAAGCCATGGCGGACAACGTGGACCCCGGTGGAGGGTGAAAAAGACAGGAAATGTCAAAGTTGTGGGACCATTTTTCACGTCGTAAGGCGGAAAACGTAGTCCAGTGTAAATACTGTAAAATGGATGTAGCCTACCACAACACCACATCCTCCATGCTGCAGCACCTGACCAGGAAACATCCACATGTAAATGTCACTTCTGCAAGCGAGCCTCTACAAGATAATGCATTTTAGCCTGTATTTCTATATATTCTGCAGACACTGTGCGACGTTTTCATTTGTAGCGCTCAGTTTCAGCTCACACCGTACGTCTGGTAGCAACACGTCGGTCTTAAAACGTGCTAAAAATAGCAGTTTTTACAACACGCCGATTTTTTACTGTGTTGTTGTCGATGTCCGTTGTCCCTCGGGATTGCTGCAGGAGGACACGGGTATTTATGAGTGGCGGAGGAAAACGAAAGGAAGTAAATAAATGTTGTGTGATCAGTATAATTTGACAAAACCACGGCAAACACGCTTTCTCGACAATCCTTGTTAGTGTGAGACAAATAAAGTAGAAATTAATACGGACGTGTGTTAATAGGGAAACAGCTGGCGAGCCATGTTTGCGCATGCGCCGTGAACGGTTCTGGTTCTGTCTGGGCCGCAGCCGCTCGCATTTGTTTACTGTGAAGTAAAGTTGAAGTGCTGAAGTTTTGAAAACTAATTTTGAATAAAACTTGAAGAATAACTGGCAATTGCTTTCTCATTTCAAGAGGTCTTTCATATTTTATAACATGCTATTTGATATAATGGTTTAAAAACACAAAAGAGTAATTTATTAGAGTACTCGATTAATCGATAAAAGATTCGATAGAGTACTCGATTACAAAAATATTCGATAGCTGCATCCCGCATCACGATTATTTCATATTAGTTTGTTTTCATCGATAAATGGAAGATGTCAGATAATTGCTTTTTAGTTTTATGTTTTTTTTATCAAAAGCGTAATCGACACAACCTGCTGTCCCTCAAAATCTCTCCATTCACAACAGGTTAGGACAAAACATTTAAACATTTAAGAAGATTTAACAAAGTAAAACATCTGTTTCCTCGTTCAACACCACGCCTCAGGCTGAGAAGAACACGCTTTGCAAAAACTCACAAAATCTAAAAAAGTACTGAAAACCTACAGGAAACATAACGTAATAATAAAATCCATAATGGGTTCATATATGAGTGTTTAATGTCTCTGAGCAGCTCTAGAGTCCGATATTTATGCCACAGTTGAAGGGTGTCAGAAATAACACCAAATGAAATGTTTGACTTAATTTCATTTGAACCCAGTGGTTCATTTCTGAAATGTTGGAGAATGAATCAAGTTCTGTTTGATGCAGAAAATAATAAAACATAAAACAAATTCTACACTTCCAATAATATTTAAGATGTGTGTTTTATTCTTTCTGATAATAACACCAGCAGAAGGCTGTGGGCTGGATTAGGATTAAATTACCCAGCTGATGGAGCTCCTTCACTAACCAGCTAACTAACCTTTCCACTAACCTGTCCTGTGGGACCCTCACCATGTGACCCTCATGTCCATGCTGTCTCTGGAGGAGCAGATGGGAGACAAGACCTCCTGTAACTTAAAATGAACCAAAGCTTCCTCCCAGCTTCTCTTTAAGCTGAATTTAACATCAAATTATCATCATGACACAAAAGAATAAAGTGGAACAAGAACTTCTATCTTCTATCTCTCTCCTCTTAATTTCTCCGTGTCCCTAAATAAAAGACGATCACGCTGCAGCCACCGTCATTGACCCCGCCCCCTCCCCAAGACCGGATCTCCCAGCATCACAACACTCGGTCTGACTGAGCGCTTCCAGGAGAAATAATAATTAAATTATGAAAATAATAACGCGTGTTTGGAGCATCGGTTTGGAGGAGCGTCCTCCGATCCTCTCTCTCCCTCTCTCAGTTGCTGTGCGAGCGGAGCGCGCCGTGTGACAACCCACTCAATTGACGTAATTCAGGGCCCAAATCCAACAGAACTAGTCGGGCTGATTCGGTTCCGGTTCGGTCTCAGGTTAGAACTCAAGCGCTCAGCCCTGCAGAACCACATTAAGGCGGAACCACTTGGTAAATGTGGAGGACGCTCACTCTGACAGATTTGGACGCTGCGCTGGTGCCGCTGTTAAAAAAACAAAACTACATTCCACTATAATCGATGATGGCGTACTCTTCTACGATGCAGAATCGTTTATGTCCGCATCCCGATGCATCGATTATTTTCCTCAGCTCTAACCTCGATAGTTCCGGGTTTGTTTCGACACCTTCGAGCTGCACAGCGACTTGAATTCGGTTTTCTCTCTGATGTTTTAAGAGAAGAGCAAAACGAGTTACTGAGTTACGTGGATCCACTCACTTTAGCAGCTTCTAGCATCTCTTGTGTTTCTTCCTGGGAGTGGCTGATGAAGACACCACCTATCTGGTAGGGGATCAACAGAGTGTCGTCGTCTAACAGCATCAGGTCGTCGCTGGCATCCTGAAGGTTCTGCAGCGTTCTCTGAAAGAGGACACCACACACAAAGCAATCGGTGAGGGCAGTTCATAGATTACTGACTGCTCCAGTAGCTCTTCCAGGACACATCAGACTCCTTACACATTAAATAACAGGGTTCTACATCAACTTGCGTGTATGACTTTGGCATTTTAGAGGAAACTGCCGAAGTCAAACCCCACCGGTGTTGATCTGCATAAGTGGCAACTGTTCCATGTAGGCACTGACGTTCTGGAGGTTAGAGCTACCAGTGTGCCTCTGAGCCACAAAGCCACCATCTGATGGAGGTCTGAGTTTACTCTTTAAAAAGTCATGTTGATCTTCCTTTAGCCAGCCAGAAACAACAAACACTGCGATCAGTTCCTGACAGATGTAAGAAATCTACTCAACATTACCCAGGCTGGATAAAAACCTGAAATAAGCCAGCATCGGGTTAAGGTTACAGGAAACGAGGATGCTTCAGCAGAAAACACCAAACTCACCTTCTTTGATTCGATTTCATTTTTGAGCTCCGTCATCCGACTCGTGTTTCTGGCGAATTTGTTGATTTTCTGCTGATCTTCGAACGTGACAACCACGTCTTCAACAGCCTGCAAACCGGAAGATGACGTTAATTGTAAATAACTAAACATTTCACAAGCGCACCGGGTCTGAGGTCCGGTCGACTCCCACAGAGCTGGTTAGTGACAAACCGATAAACCGTCGTCAGCTTCAGCCGCTGCCCGGCAGGGTGGTTGTAGCCTCTGTGCTAGCTACATTAGCTCCACTCACTCACATGAACGGGTGGTGAGAATGGTTAAAATAAACCCCAAAAACTGTGACTTCTGACATCAAATACTCCTCTGCTGTTTCCATTCATATCTGCGACTAAAGCGGCGCATGAATTTAATTACAGGAAAACGTAAAATTCCTTTAAAAACGAACTTACAACAGGACTCTTCATGACGGTAGCTGCCATCTTGACTTCTTCTGCTGTTGTCAGAAAGCAGCGCTCAATAGAGAGCCGCTGCGACACCACCACCTGGCGGTAGCACTTCAGCATTACATGCTGTGCGCATGTGACAAAGATTGAATACAAATACTTACAGAGTGGTCTTTTTTAAGTATTATTAACCAAATAATGACACAGATCAATGATGATACAATGATACAGTGCTCTGAAGAGACCCCCACACTAGAGAAGTGGTTCCAACAAATTCCTGGACAAACATCTGACAACTCAGTCTGGAAGAGTGCAGTTCTAGGACCAGCTAAGAACCTTCAAGCTGCCAGGGGTCTCATTTATCAAACATTGTGTAGAATCCTTACTAAAACCGTACTTAAGCTCAGCAAAAAAAAAGTACTTATGCCAAGTAGGTTTGTGATCTATCAAACATGGAGTACACACAGCTGCACGCAATTGCAACTTCATAAATCAGAGACTATCTAGATAGGTTCTCAGCTGCTTTTTAGTCACATCCCGCCCTCACCACGCCCACTTACTGCCATAAATAGTCAATGCAAAGTGCCTTGTGGATCCCATGCGTATACATAAGCCGGCTGTTGCAGCGCTCCGCCAATGACATGGCGACCGTAGATCAAGGCAGATCAAGAAAGCGCTATTACACACAAGCAGAAGTTGAGGTACCTGTGGGTGAGGTGGAGAAATGTAAGGAAGTACTTTTGCAAAACAAATAAGAGAAAATCCACGGAGTGGCACAGCGTTGCTGAAGCCGTCAATGCTGAGTTCTTCAGAGAGATCTGTGGCTGATATAAAAAAATGATCCAATCAGGATTCAGTCCCCAGACTCCCAGGCAGCGCTGGACTGACCATAGGGCATAGCGGGCAACTGCCCGCTGGGCCGACCCTTTCATCTTTTATGGGCCGGTGTCTGTTTTTTTTTTGTTTTGTTTTTTTTCCTGGCTTCTAGTTGTTGCGGACAACTTGTCCGCGCCACCCCACGCGACGCCTCGTAAAAGTTGGTGGATTGGCCAATTGGTAATAATACACTCTGGGCTGGACCAATAGCCAGAGGTCTGATGCACCCGCCAGTTGTTTGTGAATCTCAGTAAACAGACAGACGAGCTTTACAAAATGGAGAACAAAAAACGGAAAGGAGGAGCGGAGAAAATTCGACTAAAAAAGAAACTGGCCCTTCAGGCTGATGCTGGCACATGTGTTAAAATCTCACAGTTGTTTGGTAGTGAAGGTTCAAGTAAAATCAATTTAGGAAGTGATGGAGCCTCAGCCCAGCGACAGGTTGGAGAAGAAAAGAGGGAGGAGGAGGAGAAACCCGAGCCGGTGTTGTGCCATAAATTGACTCGCTGCCAAAAAATGATTAGCCACCGCGGGATCGCGCACGGTTAGGTAATTGCATTTCTAGACAAAATTCCCCAGGATTTCGCCCTAAAACTCGGCATATCTAGCAATATGGACATTCAGAAAGCAAAGATAACCTCTTTCGGTACTTAAACAGATGTTTATCGCGGATATTAGTGTGGCAGTGTTGGTGGCACCCTGCGCGGGAGCACGAGGACGTCCTTGTGGAAAGAGGGAGGAAGATGCGGCTGTGTGAGCGTCCTGTCACAATGTCCCGATTGATCATGCGCCCTGGCTAGTGGGCTAAGGAGATGCCTCTTTGGCTGACTGGTTAGAGCGTATGACTCTCACCCGGGAGTCTGGGGATCGAATCCCGCCTGGGCACTCCTTTCTGCACCTTGCCACATTAGTTTTTCCAGTTCGGAAGTTGTTTTAAGTGTTGCTATTTGTCTTAAACGTTCACAATGAGGATATATTAATCCTTTTTGCAATATTTGCGATTGAAAGATGGTTTGTGCCACAAACTTTGTGGTAAGAACTGGCTTTCTTTATGTTACAGCCTTGATACTAAAAAAATAAATAAACAATGTAAAATGGCACCCTGTATTGAATGTAAACGTTGTATAAATGGAAATAAACAATTCTCCAGCAATTTAATTTTTTCCCCTTCCTTTCTTTAGTCCACTTGACATGGAGCCACAGTTAACTAGTTTGGGGCACATTTTTACTTGAAAAAAAGTATTTAAAATGATCAAGCTTTGGCTTTACAATGACACTGTGTAGGTTGCTATTCATTACGTTGCTCTATTTAAAAGTAACAAGATAAAAGCACTTCAGCACATAAAATTAAGATTGTCACGTGCCAAATAGACTACACCCTCCCGTTTACCTATAAGAAATGCATCAAAATATCTTTAAATTCTTTATTGATGATTTAATTGTAGACAGCTAAAATGGCATTTTACTTGCCAAAAAGTGATTGAATCGCTAAGATTTTCATGGAGGCTGAAATTGACCAAATAAGCGTTTTATGTATTATCTGTTGACGTTACTGTACTCATACTGCCTACTGTGTCATCAAAAACACCCCAAAAATGGCAAAAAAAAAAAAAGAAAAAAAGATAATTTCCCTTGCCAAAAATTGATTATAGTGTCCTGGTCACGTGTAAAGGGTTACATTTACCTAAATATTACTTTATTTATTATCTCTTGATGTTATTAATGCCATCACAGGATGCTGGGTGTCTTCCACATTCATAAACACCTAAAAAATGGCAACAAATGATAATTTCCCTTGCCAAAAATTGATCACAGAGTCCTGGTCACCCATAAAGGCTTAAATTGGCATAAATATTACTTCATTTATTATGATGCCGGGTGTGTTCCACAATCATATTCGAATAAACATAAAAATATTCCGTCCGAATATCTGTTTCTTGTTATAAATATAACAGCTAGAAGGATTTACAGTTAAAATAGGAGAAACACGTGACTCCCCAGGAAGGGTCGTAACACCACTTGCCTCATGCACATAAGTGAACAAATCAAAGCAGCATGGAGACACTCCGTCTCCAACCACCTCTCAGGCAGCAGCCTGCACTCCCAAGTTCTACACGTCACCAGAACATAAACAACCGCAACACAATAAAAGCAGTGTTATACAAAATGGAAGGCCTGTAGTGTTTATTCTCTTACAGTAACAACTTATCAATTTTTTGGAGGAATTTATTTGAGAATTTTTTGGTTTTTATTAATTGTGCAATAGAAAAGTAATCACTAGATTAATCATCTAAATAGTCATTAGAATAGTCGACTATTCGATAAAATAATCGTCAGAATAATCATTTTAAAAATAATCAGTTACCCCCAACCCTACTTTTTAGAATACCAGGATAGGAAGGATGGTGTAGGTTTACGTTTATTAGATTGATACATAAATACTACCAATAAGAAAGTGTACGTTGGTGTGTGTCAGAAACAACATAAGGCTTAATGTCTTTTCCAAAAAAAAACAGGTGATGGGCCGGTCTCCAGTCAAAATGCCCGGGCTGAATTTTTGTCCCAGTCCAGCCCTGCTCCCAGGTGAAAGTCACATGCGCTAACCAGTCACCCAAACAGAGATCTCCCTTGTCCAAGTAGCCAGGGTGCACGATCAATCGGGTTATAGTGACAGGACACACTCTGTCTCAATCTGTCCCCCTGCTGATATTCTGCATTCCGTATTCTGCGCTTCAGGCTGTGTGTGTGTGTGTGCATGCGTGCGTGTGTGAGTGTGCGTGCGTGTGGGGGATCTTGTTCCGTGTGAAAACGAAGCAGTACAAGTGATAATGCTGCAGGATTTCATAACTGTATCCTTCTCAGCAGCAGCACTGCAGGTGCTCTCCATGTCCAAAATGTGCGTAAGCCAGGTCCTTAGTTAACTTAAAGTTGTGCACATTTTTCCGCTAAGTTTTCTGTCATTAATCCCACAGTTTCTGTGGAAAGTTGCTCGCGCAGTTTTCGACCCCATTTTGTGCGTGAGCTAGCTTGATAAATGAGGCCCCACGCCTCTGGTAGAGAACCCCAGCTAGAGATGAAGAGCCACTCACCCCGCCCAGGGGAGGGAAGGGTTGGTGAGAGAAGAGTTGCATGCTACTTTACATACATGCATGAGAAATTGGGCAGACAGCTTAAATGGCAGCAACATGTGAGGTCTTCATGCTGATTTTAATCTCTACATGACTGATTAAAGAACTATTAGCCTATCTCAGGTGATTTATCTGAACGTTCACCTGACTATCAAAACAGATTTTTAAACCGGAACTGCTGCTCTGTGCATATTTAAAAGGCAAACAGGACTGCACCCAAGATCAAATATTTACTGAACACATGTGTAAGGCAGTAACACCAGGCATACAGAGTCTGCATCCATGAAAACAAAGAGTGCTAATTCTCCAGTTTTCTGTTTTCAAATCAATGGCCTTTTGTGAGTATGATGCCTCCAATAAAACCAGTAGGCTGTAAAGCGTTGGTGCGTTCATGAAGACTTTGCTTGAAGTCCCTCAGCAGCAGCCTTTGCACAAAGTCCAAACTAGGGAATCCGACTCCCACCCCAGTGTGCGGGCAATAGGCTACAACTGGGCTATTGTCTCCAAAAATTCCACAAACTGTTGTAGGAAATTTGATAAATACTGCACGCTTTCAACATTTTTTCCAGCAAAATTTTTTTCTCACAAATCCCATGATGCCTATGGCAGACTAAGAGGATGTCACGTTGAACAAATTTTCAGAATAATTTGAAAAAAATAAATCATCCAGGGTATTTTACTTTCTAAACGTTTCATTTTAAGTCACGCACTGGGATACAGCGGGATGCAAACGTTTGGGCAGCCTTGTTAACCCATTTGTGCCCAAATTTTTTTCAGAGTTGTAATGCATATCATTTTATCAGTTAAGTCCCTCTGAATCATGTTATATCATTTTTTTTCAATTATATACTTTTTTTGGGAAGAAAATGGCATATTTATTGTTGCCAGTGGTCACACAGCTTGTCAGTAGGTTAAATGTCACCTAATAATAGGAATAGAGAAGTAATAACAATATCGTTATAACCAGGGCCGACCCTGGGGCATTATTTTCACTGGGCAAAATTTTTCCTAGTTTAACCGCACCTAAACCTTAACGTTTCACTTTTTATAACCTTCCCCTCTCCCTCATCCTAACCTTAACCCTCTTGCTACCTAAAACGTTACTCTCACTGTGATCAAGCGTTTGTTTCCCATGCATTCTGACTCTGACAGTCAGAGTCTGACTGTGAATTTTCGTATTTGCCGCCCAAGGGGAACGTTAGAACATACCATCTGGCGAGGGGAGGTTACACATACCCTCTACTTTTAACCTCCACCGTGGTAGTTGAAACCTCCCCCTCGCGTTGGCTCGGTCCAAACCCGACCAATGACGAGGCGGCTCCCGCCCTTCGCTTCATAGAGCAGGCTTTTAGAACGATCGACACATCACTAACGTGTTCGCTAGCAAGATGGTTAAGGTTAGGATAGGGGTGAGGGGAAGGTTAAATAAGAGGATAAGGTTAAGGTGCGGTACAATGAGCTTGTTTGGTGCCCTGGCTGCGGACATCCCATCGCGTCAGTGTTACGCTGCATTGGGATCTGCAGTCAAATAAGGGAAAAACCCCTTTTCGCACATAAGTAACGAAAAAGGGCCCTTTGGCGTCAGGGGTCCGACGTGGAGGGTGGCTGACAAAGCGTTTGTTTTTGACGCGCTGGGAGTGAGAACGTGTTGAGGAGACACACGCAGTGATATCTGAGAGGTGAAACAATGTTTATAGGATTTACAGAAAGTGTGCAACAATTGCTTAAACAAAATTAGGACGGTTAATAAATTTGGGCACTGATGTCATTTTATTAGACGTTTTTACAAAACAATAGCCCTTTTTCCATTACCGGACCTCCAGGGTAGTTCCTGCAACGGGAACATTGACCAGGTGATAGGATGTCCCAGTCCTCTCAGCTGATGCATTCAAATCCAGCCCTTTCAGAACTTTGCACAAACGTCAGCATATCGCGACTGCTTTGACTGTGAGTGATGACACTGATCAGTAACGTTAAAATTATTAACCATTTATTCAGTCGAAGCGTTTCGTACTTTCATTCATTCAGAGGACGTGAGCAGCTGTATGGTGTAAAATGTTGTGTTCAATGACCAGATGAAGTGCCGTTTTTTACTGCGCTCTGTGAGAAAACAAAGCCCCGTTATTAAAGCCTAGGTTATACTTCTCCGTCTGTGTTGAGACAAACCAAGCCCCCACAATGCGGCTCTAAAATTGGTCCCAACCCGGAAGTACCAAAAATTGCAGTTCCACCCTCATCCACTAGGGGCTGGTGTCAGAAGCGAGCAAATCCTCATTGACTCCCATGTTAAAAATACCAATTTCACAGCAGAAATAAACATATTTAGAACCTGGTACCAAAACATGTTTTTGGTTTAAATGATCTAGTTTACACTCATGACAACTCTGAGGGGGGTGAATTTTTTTCTCACTCGTCTGTTTAAGTGTATTAAAAGCCTAAAATTCTGTATATTAATGAGCATCAGACCCACGTGACCACAGAGCTAGCTCCGTGGAAAGGCCTCAGTAGAGCCTCGGTCTGGCTTGGAAACTGCTCCGGGATTTTGAGTCTCTGTGTGTGTGTATTCTTGTTTGGATATTTTTTGTGCAATTGTTGGACAAAATGACTTGCTGTGGCATTAATTGCACCAATAGAGCGTCCAAGGAGTGTCCACTTAATTTTTTTCGGTAAGTAAAATTATATTTATGTATTTTAGGTCACTGCCGAGCTGAGCTTAGATTTTAACATGTACTGTTTAACCATGAAATTTAAATGTAATAGGGTAAATCCCAGTACATTTAACACAATGCTGCACTTTAGAAAATGGGTTGAAATATAACATGTTGGTGGAGCTGGATTCCTACTATCGGCTTGTGGAGCTCTTGGGAGACCAATATTTTCCACCCGTTCTCCCCTCCCCACAGCTCGGCGCATCTCTGTCTGATCGCGGCTTCTGTCTGCTGCGCGGGCTGTCGGCTTGTGGAGCTCTGGGATGGAAACCTTTCCACCCGATTCTCCCCAGCGGCAGCTCTGCGCATCTCAGATCGCAGCGGCGCTGCTGTGCAGCTGCCGGCTTGTGGAGCTCTCGGAGACCTCTGTGTTCCACCCGGTTTTACCCAGCGGTCAGCCCGGCGTATCTCTGACTCAGAAGCTCTGGTGTTGTGCACAGTTAACTCCGTTTGTAGCTAGGTTGCTACCTCCGTTAGCTTAGCTCCCACCTCCGCATTAGCTTTGGGTTAGCTTCATGTTAGCTTGTAGCTAGTTCGACCGGGTGTTGTCAGTCGATCCCAGCCTTACAGCCCCACCCTCAGCTCCTCCTCTCTTCCCTTTTATGGAATTGTCTGGGCTTGACGGAACCTGTGACACGGTCAAAATGTCGGTGGTGGCCACCTCCCATTTTAGTACAAAAACTTATTATTGGAGCCTATGGAAACCCATTGTCCATATATGTATGTCGATGGGACAAACACACGCAACGTCATTATGCGCCAAAGCAGGAGCCCTTGACGGGATTGCGGAGGAAGATGGAGACATGCCCCAAATTTTATATATCCGTCGAAAGAGACGCAGGCCACAAGCTTGTGATTGATCGGGACGCTGCTTTCTGTTTTCTTTTGTCTACAGCACGTCATTGCCACTTCAAACATTAAAGGGATATTTAGCGGTTGACACGGAACAGAGTGAAGAGCGCATTGCAGAAAAAAGTCTGAAAATATGAATGTTTATTCACCCGTAACTGAAGGGAGTACAGAGATAGGCAGCAAGCGCTTTAATCGTGGACGGAAAAGACGTGAAACGTGAGTTTGGAGGTGCCGATCGCATAAAGAGGTGGAGGGGGAATGAGGGACAAATTTGTTCGTGTTAAAAAGTCTCCGAAGTACATTAAAACTATGTAAACAAAACAGTAGTGGACCTGATACGACTGTAATGATGTCAGGATACCTCTGAATAGCGCCATGCCCTTTGCCCTGGTGGGGAATTGTTTTGCAACAATCCTCAGCTGACAGAGAAGTCTGAAAGAAAACAAGTGGAACGTTCTGGAATGTTCATCTCAGTCCCCGGACCTGAATATTACTGAAAACCTGTGGTGTGAGTCAGAGCTGTCCATGCTCAGAAGCCGTCAGACCTGAATGAACTAGAGATGTTTTGTAAACAAGAATGGTCCAAGATACCTTCAGCCAGAATCCAGACTCTCATTAGAAGCTATAGGAAGCAATTAGAGGCTGTTATTTCTGCAAAAGGAGGATCTACTAAATACTGAGTTCATTTGTTTTTGTGTTGCCCACATTTATGCACCTGCCTAATTTAGTTTAAACAATTATTGCACATTTTCTGTAAACCTTAGAAACTCTCCTGTATGATATATTTAACCGAAAGCTTTTATCGCAACAACCAACGGTTTACACAAGGAAATCATGAAGATTACCACTGCTGCGTGAACTTTTGCATCCCGCTGTGTTTAGCTAACAAACACACAGGCTTTCATTTAACGAATGACTCTTATTTAACCCAACTAAAGCAGATCCCTGTCTCTTTGTATCAGTTACATTCTGTAAAAAAGGTTAAATTATACAAAAACACTTGAATAGAACAGACTTTATTGATCCCACAGTGGAGAAATTCACTTGGAATGGAAATGTAGTCAGATTGAATGATTACAATAATAAAAAAATACATTAAATTTATGTCACCACAAAACTGAAATATTATTGTCCAGTCAGAAGGAAAGGTGAGCTGAGGAGACAACATGACTATTTTTTTGTTTAGGCAGCATGGACGCCTGCCAGACCAACATCCTCCAGACATCCTGCTGCTCACCCTCAGTGTGCTGCTCCACCTTAACACTGTGCTCCACAACACATTATCCTCATGAGAGTAATGTTTGAGATTTTATCAGATAGTTTACTAAAAATGTACTAAAAATAAAATAAACATGTCTTTTTATTAGAAAAATAAACTAAACTCTTTTTGGTTAGAGCAGGAAAGACAGCTGATTGCTTCTAAACAGTCACACCCATTTTTAAGTACACATAAAACAGCATGCCAGCGAAACACACAGCTGGGAAGGCAGCATGCTTCCATCGCTCTGACAGACACAGAGGACATAGGAGTGCATCACTTGCTTGACCTGCTGGGGCGGAACAAGGTATCTGAAACAGATATGCAAGACCGCTTCAGGCCTTTTGAGGATTTTTCTACTTAAAACAAAATCTTTTTTTCTCCTGCTTGTGTCGTATCAGGCTAAAGCCGTGAGCCCACTCTGGGAGAAACATGGGAAACGAACAGTCGACTGACACAGAACCGACCCAGGTAAACTCAGACTCAGTGTGCAGCACACCTGCAAAAGAAAACAACTCATTTCAGGTGTGTGCTTGTTGGCTTTTTAAAACTTGTTGACTAATTGCACAGAATTGGCTTACTGAAGACCTAATGAAGATGCATATATTTTCTTTTTCATATTTTAGAATGGGACAGTTCATGAGAAGCATGAAAATGGACCAGTGAACGGCCTGTCTACGACCATCACAGCTAACGGACTGGAGATTAACGGTTAGTTTACGTTGTTGGTTTTCAGTTTAAGTCCCTGTCTTCCATTCAGGATGCATTGTGCAAACCAATATTTTGGTTGTTGGTTAAAAAAAAATAAAGACCGAACTTATTTATGTCCCTGGATGCCAGAGAAAGAATGCTCAGACAGATAAGAGGAAAACCACTCCACAGCAGTTCCTGATAGGCCTACCCAGTCTCTCAGCCTCTCCAGTAGCAGGTGATGGTCAACAGTGTCTAAGACTGCAGTCAGGTCCAGCAGGACCAGAACAGAACAGTCCCCTGCATCACTGTGGGTCAAAAAGGTCATTAGAGACCGTAGAGGAGCGGTTTCAGTAGAATGAGCTCTACGAAAACCTGACTGGAAGCTGTCATAGGTGTTATGTTCATCAAGAGCCGCTGTGGGTTCACTTATTTATGTCCCTGGACGCCTTTTGGCGCTTCTCGTTGATGTCACTCACTGGAGCAATATGCTGACGTCTTAGCAAAGTCCTGAAAGGCTGATTTTACATGAAGACACAACACTGGGTGAGCGGCTGGGAAACTGGACAGTTGGACAGGACATTCAGGTTTCTTCCTGCCCCTGCAGAGTAACCATGAGGCTTCTGAACAGAAGTTAAAATTAAACTTTGCATGAAGAAATATGGAAGCCACCATTCATACTAGTTTATGAGGATTGCTTTTTGACAAATTCTAAAAAAAAAATTTTAAAAATAAAACTATGCAAACAACTAAAACCCATCACAGCTGCTTTAGGCTTATAATATGTAATTTATCTGTATAGCCAGATAGGAATATAAAAAAATAAAGGAAGCTACTTACTTTAAACAATATAATCCTCTCCTGCTCCCTCCACCACTGTTAGAGGAGCAATGAGTCTGGAATAAGGTGGGATAACAAGGATAAACCAGACCTGTAATAGGGACCGAGAAAAATGAGGGGGCATTTGTGGGACGAATTTGGAGTAGTCTTTGAATTTGGACAGCATTGTCACTTTACTGCGACTTTATTGGCCTTTAAATGTTGCCTTGGTTGAGGAAGGTGAACGATGTAACCAGACATGTAGCATGAGGAGGAGGAGCCACACTTAGTTGTTACCTTCCTATGAACCTTTAGGAGAATATTACAGACTTTGGTTCTTTTGGGGGGGTTTCCACCCACACATTTAGCCGTGGTTCTAAATGTGCTAAATCATCATAAACAAACAGTAGAAGAAAAGAAAGAAAGAAAGAAAGAAAGCAAGCAAGCAAGCAAGAAAGAAAGAAAAAAGAAAAAAAGAAAGAAAGAAAGAAAGAAAGAAAACAATCTTTTATAAAGCGCCTCTCAAGATAAAAAGCACAAGGCGCTTCACAAATACGAAAAAAATTCTATTCAATTAAGGTTAAAAAAAGATTAGAAAATAAGTTTCAGATTAGAAAAATATAAAACCAGGGTGAGACAAAGAACGGTTCGAAGGATCTTTCATGGCGGTTAAAACGAAGAGTCGGAGTACACGGCCCGGAGGGTTACCGGGGTCCCACCCTGGAGCCAGGCCTGGGGTTGGGGCCCGTGAGCGAGCGCCTGGTGGCCGGGCTTTCGCCCATGGGGCCCGGCCGGGCCCAGCCCGAACCGGACACATGGGCTCGTCCAACTGTGGACCCACCACCCGCAGGAGGAACATGAAGGGTCCGGTGCAATGCGAATCGGGTGGCAGACCAAGGCGGGAGCCTTGGCGGTCCAATCCCCGGACAAGAAAACTAGTTTTTGGGACATGGAACGTCACCTCGCTGGCGGGGAAGGAGCCGGAGCTTGTGGCAGAGGTTGAGCGGTACCGGCTAGATATAGTCGGACTCACCTCGACACATTGCATTGGCTCTGGAACCCGAGACCTGGAGAGGGGTTGGACACTCTACTTTGCTAGAGTTGCTCCGGGTGAGAGGCGGAGGGCTGGGGTTGGCTTTTTGTTAGCCCCGAGACTCTCTGCCTGTGTGTTGGGGTTTACCCCGGGGGACAAGAGGGTAGCTTCCCTGCGCCTTCGGGTCGGGGAACGGGTCCTGACTGTTGTTTGTGCTTATGGGCCAAATATCAGTTCAGAGTACCCACCCTTTTTGGAGTCCCTGGGACGAGTGCTAGATAGTGCTCCATCAGGGGACTCCATTGTCCTGCTGGGGGACTTCAATGCTCACGTGGGCAATGACAGCTTGACCTGGAGCGGTGTGATTGGGAGGAACGGCCCACCTAATCAGAACTCGAGCGGTGTTTTGTTATTGGACTTCTGTGCAAGCCGCAGTTTGGCCATAACGAACACCATGTTCGAACATAAGGATGCCCACCGGTACACTTGGTACCAGGGCAGCCTAGGTCACAGGTCGATGATAGATTTTGTAGTCGTATCATCTGACCTGCGGCCGTATGTTTTGGACACCCGAGTGAAGAGAGGGGTGGAGCTGTCAACTGATCACCACCTGGTGGTTAGTTGGATCAGATGGCAAGGGAACATGCCGCGTAGACCTGGCAGACCCAAACGCATAGTGAGGGTCTGCTGGGAACGCCTGGCAGAAGAACCTGTCAAGACGGTCTTCAACTCCCACCTCCGGCAGAGCTTTGACCACGTCCCGAGAGCAGTGGGGGACATTGAGTCCGAGTGGGCCTTGTTCCACTCTGCGATTGTCGAGGCGGCTGTTGCTAGCTGTGGTCGTAAGGTGGCCGGTGCCCGTCGTGGTGGCAACCCCCGTACCCGCTGGTGGACACCAGAGGTTCGGGGAGCCGTCAGGCTGAAGAAGGAGGCCTACAGGGCGTGGCTGGTCTGTGGGTCTCCGGAGGCAGCAGACAGGTACCGGATAGCCAAGCGGGGTGCAGCAGTGGCAGTTGCCGAGGCAAAATCTCGGGCGTGGGAGGAGTTTGGTGAGGCCATGGAGAAAGACTATCGATCGGCTCCAAAGAGGTTCTGGCAAACTGTCCGGCGCCTCAGGAGAGGAAGGCAGCAACTCGCTCACACTGTTTACAGTGGGGATGGGGAGCTGCTGACGTCAACTGAGGCTATAGTCGGACGGTGGAAGGAATACTTTGAGGAGCTCCTCAATCCCACCAATGCGCATTCCGAGGAGGAACCAGAGCTGGGAGGCCTGGGGATGGACTGTCCGATCTCGGGGGCAGAAGTTGCTGAGGTAGTCAAACAACTACACAGCGGCGGAGCCCCGGGGGCGGATGAGGTTCGTCCTGGGTATCTCAAGGCTATGGATGTTGTAGGGCTGTCATGGTTGACACGTCTCTACAACATTGCGTGGTCATCGGGGGCAGTTCCTAGGGAGTGGCAGACTGGGGTGGTGGTCCCCATCTTTAAGAAGGGTGACCTGAGGGTGTGTTCCAACTATAGGGGGATCACACTCCTCAGCCTCCCTGGAAAGGTCTACTCCAAGGTACTGGAGAGGAGGGTCCGATCGATAGTTGAATCTCAGATAGAGGAGGAGCAATGTGGTTTTCGTCCTGGCCGTGGAACTGTGGACCAGCTCTATACCCTTGCAAGGGTGATGGAGGGGGCATGGGAGTTTGCCCAACCAATCCACATGTGCTTTGTGGATTTGGAGAGGGCTTATGACCGTGTCCCCAGGGGCACCCTGTGGGGGACGCTCCAGGAGTATGGGGTGGGTGGCTTTCTGTTAAGGGCCATTCAGTCCCTTTACCAGAGGAGCGTGAGTTTGGTCCGCATAGCCGGTAGTAAGTCGGACCTGTTCCCAGTGAGGGTTGGACTCCGCCAGGGCTGCCCTTTGTCACCGGTTCTGTTCATCACTTTTATGGACAGAATTTCTAGACGCAGCCGTGGTGTGGAGTGTGTCGAGTTTGGTGGCAGGAGAATCTCGTCTCTGCTTTTTGCGGATGATGTGGTCCTCCTAGCTTCATCCAGCTCTGACCTTCAGCTCTTGCTGGGTAGGTTCGCGGCCGAATGTGAAGCGGCTGGGATGAGGATCAGCACCTCCAAATCTGAGACCATGGTTCTCGACCGGAAAAGGGTGGCTTGCCACCTCCGGGTCGGGGGAGAGGTCCTACCTCAAGTGGAGGAGTTTAAGTATCTCGGGGTCTTGTTCACGAGTGAGGGTAGGAGGGATCGGGAGATCGACAGGCGGATTGGTTCGGCGTCTGCAGTGATGCGGACGCTGAGCCGATCTGTCGTGGGGAAGAGGGAGCTGAGCCAGAAAGCCAGGCTCTCGATTTACCGGTTGATCTACGTCCCAATCCTCACCTATGGTCATGAGCTTTGGGTAATGACCGAAAGAACGAGATCGCGGATACAAGCGGCCGAAATGAGTTTCCTCCGTAGGGTGGCCGGGCTCAGCCTTAGAGATAGGGTGAGGAGCTCGGACATTCGGGAGGGACTCGGAGTAGAACCGCTGCTCCTCCGGATCGAAAGGAGCCAGTTGAGGTGGTTTGGGCATCTGGTCAGGATGCCTCCTGGACGCCTCCCCGGGGAGGTGTTTCGGGCATGTCCTGCCGGCAGAAGGCCCCCGGGTCGACCCAGGACACGTTGGAGAGGTTATATCTCCAATCTGGTCCGGGAACGCCTTGGGGTCCTGCCGGAGGAGCTGGTGGACAAGGCCGGGGAGAGGACGGCCTGGAGCTCCCTAGTTGGGATGCTGCCCCCGCGACCCGGACCCGGATAAGCGGAGGAAGACGAAGACGAAGACGAAGATAAAACCATGTCATGTAAGGACAGAGAAATAAATGAATAGGAAAGAGGGAAATCTGTGGATCCAGAGAAAGGCGGAATAAGTAGAAGGAACAGGAGAAAGAGAGGGTGGTGCTGAAGGACACACCAAAGCCTGAACAGGTGAGTTTTCTGCTGCTTTTTAAAGGAGACCATTGAGTCCACTGATCTCAGGCTCAGGGGGAGTACTAGTTGGCTTTGGTCACTGGACCTCAGGGACCTGCTGGGGGTGTAGGGACTAAGAAGATCACCAATGTAAGATGGTGCTTGTCCATTTAAGGCCCTATAGACCAGAGGAGGAGATGAAGGTGTGGAGAACTGTCTCAAGTTCAGAGCGGGACAGAATGGGACTCAGCTTAGCAACATTCCTGAGATGGAAGAAGGAAGAGCCAACAAGAGAACTGACATGAGAATCCAGGGTGAGAGCTGGGTCAAAGGTCAAGCCAAGATCCCTGACAGAAGGTTTGGTGTGAGAAGCAAGCTGACCAAGAGTCTCTGACTTTGGGAACCAGCTTGTCTGGAGCACAGATGAGGATCTCAGTCTTATCTTCATTCAGCTGAAGAAAGCTCCCACCATCCAGGTTTTGATAGAGTCTAAGCAGGTGTGGAACAGCTGCAGCTTAGACATCTCATGGGGCTTAACCCTCCCACTGTCCTATGGGGTGAGCACTTCAGGAAAGGTGACCATTGAGCAGGGTTGATGGTTTATCCCTTGAGGTCCACGTGGCAGGGGTGAGGAGTGAACACCACCTCACCCAGGTGATGTACAGGTACAGGAGATGTACAGTTGGATGTCATCTGAATTAAGATGGTAGGAGATTCCTTTAAAGGAGCTCAGGATGTGCTGAAGAGGAAGCAGATAGAGGAGGAACACTGTAATAAATTGTAGACCAGAATAACTTAAAAATGAAAGTTCAACAGCTGCCTTAAAAATTTGAGTCAAGTCAACTTAAATGATTACTTTCTTTCAACTCTTTATGTCAAGTTGTACAAATATCATAAATAGTAACTATGCTTTGTTTGAGTATTATATTGCGAGTCGAAACAACAAATCTTATTAGATTACAAAACGGAAAAATCACTTTGTCTTGTTAAACATACACACAATTCTACATTATGTTTACTTCTAAATTTGAGTTAGACTTGTATGGTTTTCCTGATAGGCCTAGCCAGTCTCTGAGCTAACCTTATTGACTTTGTCCACAAAGAAAGACAGAAAGTTCTCATAGTGTGCAACAGAGTGGATGGAGGCCGTAGGAGAGGCAGGAGAGACGATGCTGCTGACGGTGTTAAACAGCACCTTGGGGTTGCCTTTGCTCTGGGACACCAGGCTGGAGAAATAGGAAAAACCCTCGCGTCTCTGACTGCAGAGTTAAAGGATGTCAGAAGATCCTTTAGGTGCAGCAGATGGATGTGGAGATGGGTTTTCTTCCACAAGCGCTCAATTTTTCTGCACTGGCGCTTCGGGCTGGAAGTGAAAGCCCTAATAGGCCCCAATAGGCTTTCCAACAACATACGATTTATTACCAAATGTATGTTACAACAAAGAAATAATCAAAAATGATATGACTTGTTTGTACCAAGTGTATTTGGGAGATTCCTTTTAAGCCGTTTTTCTGACTTGGGTTGTTTTTCTAACTTGATGGGGGGACACAGACAGCTTAAATCAGCTGATCGTCTGATGTCCCTGTTTTATTAGTCGTTCGGATACTCATAATTCTCTGTAAACACAGAGACTCCCATCTGGACTCAGTGTCAAATCTCCTATTGTAAACTTTAGGCGTAGTCTCAGACTCTGACAAGGAGCGACTGTTTGATCTGTCACACTGTGGTTGTTTCCCAGCAGCAGCGCTAATGCTCTGCGACTCCCATTAGCTCTAAAGTTGATCTTAGAGCAGTAATGTTGACCCTGGAGACAGAGATGTCACTTTCCTGCTCTGGCAAGCTCGTGTTTGCTTCGTGAACACACAAAGATATCAATTAAATGTTGCATGTGAGTAAGTCGAAATCCAAACGTGCACTGATTTCACTAGACTGAGGTGCAATTATTAATTAGCAAAAGTCACAGGCAGAAAAGAAAAATGAATAATTTAGTGTCATTTAATGCAGTGGTTCAGTTCCTGGGGTCCAAGACCCACTGAAGATGTCACTAGAGATCACAGGGGTCCTCCGAGTTTTGTGCTGAGGTTGTGAGGTTACCAAAATTGTATTTGTTAACGTTACATTTATAAAATCCCAGTAATACACCCTACAACATGAAACAAGAACAACCTACAACATTTTTTTTTTTGCAAATAAATGTTTAATGAATCACTTTTAATGCGAGTGTATGTGGGTAGAAGTTTGGGGTTTTCTGACCTATTACAGTTTATAAATCTACATTTATTTTTCTGTAATTTGTTTGTATTTTTACATGCATTCAGCATTTTGATCGCACATGTTTCACGTTTGCAGCAAAAAATGACATCTCAGTCGTTCAGAATAGCGAGCCTCCATCTTCAAAGCCTGGGACTGAAACAGCCGACGGTGCAGCGGTCAAAAGCGATGTTCAAACCGCCGTCACTGACACGGTTTCTGAAGTTATCGAAAAAGTCTCAGAAATCATTGAAAGCAGCTCCAAAAGCACAGAGATGGTCTTCGAGGAACAGGTCAAGAAAGGCAAAGAGGAGAAAAGTCGTCTTTTTGGCAAACTGTTCCAAAAGAAAACAGATCGTCCAGCTGATCACGAGAAGGTGAAAGAAGAAACAAAGGACACTTCAGGGGAAGATCAAATGGATGTGAGTGAGTTTCCTGCTGCGCCACAGCAGGTGAGTTCACATTTCCTGTTTGTTTTTCATGTATGATCATATGTACTCATTTGTTTTCTTGGTAAAAAAAAAACCAAAAAAAAAAATACGAGTCACATCATGCTGCTTCATTTGTTAATGAGCTCATATGATGTTACTGCTCCTGTTTTTCAGAAGAAAATGGTTAAAGGAATGCTGAACTGTACTTCTGAGTCATTAGGGCCATGTCACATTTAGGAGCAGGAGGTTAGGACCCAAGATGCAGAACCCAGGATGACACAAGGCAGGAGTGGATATATAAAGTAAAAATCCTTTATTTTGAGGAAGAACAAAAATAAATCCAAATGGCAGGGAGACAAAAAATCCAAAAGTCCAGAGAGTCAAAAACAACACCAGGGGAACGAGCAGACTGAACAGAACAAATAACGCTGACAAACAACAATGGACCGACAAGAACAATGAGACAAGGAGGGCTTATATAGACAGGGAGGAGCAATTGGGGAAACAGGAAGCAGGTGTGTGGAGTGAGGCTGGAGGGAAGGCAGGTGACAGCAATTATCTGGATGGGGAAGAGAACCAGTGGAGGGCAGATAAACCTCAAACTATATAAAACACAAAACTAAACCTAAAGACTAAGGGAAAAACTCACACAAACACATACACATACTGACACACACACTCATACACACATACAATGAACTGGGGAACAAGAGGCTGTGGCTATAACTTGACACACAACAGAGATGCAGACAAAGGACACATGAGGGCACTAAGAGAACACAAAAGGGAATCCAGAGAGGGATGGAGAAACATTAGGAGACACATGGGGAAAGACGCAGACAATGGACACATGAGGGCGCCATGAAACACAAAAGGAGAACCTGGAGTGGGAACTGGAGGGGCTGGGGAACAAAGGGACACAGAACATGACAGGCCACTGAGGAAAAAGTGTTAGTCACTCAAAATGATGAGATAAAACAACCAAAATACACTTAAAAAATAAAGTTATTTTGAAATGAAAGACAACGTTAAAATTAAACAGAGACCTGAAATACCCCAAATGTCTTGTGTAACTAAATTATGGTGACTTTACTTAAGTGGTTTTAGTCCAAAGGAAATAGTTTTAGTTCATAAAGTGTAACACAACTCTGGATAATTTATTATATTCACTCTTATTGTGAAGGACTGAAGGGAGACCAGTTAAATACAACCAGAACCCTCATAGAAATAGGTAATAATAATAATAATGATAATAATGGTAATAATAATAATAATATAATAATAAGAAGAAGAATAAGAATAATAATAAGAAGAAGAACATATACAGTCATACACAAACACATTCACAGACTCCCTCCCTCATGCTCACACATACACATACAACCTAAGACTTACAAAAATGCCCCTTTCTGCTGGGGGGTCATGATGAGCAGGCTCCCCTGCTCAACGCCGAGCAAAGCAACCCACCACCCCAGACCCCAACCAGACGGCCTGCTCCCCCTCCTAGCCTCCAGCCCCGGGAAGCCAAGCGACAACAGAGGTGTGCTAAGACCCCCTAGTCTCCCTCCACCTGCTCCAGTATAGTGTTGGTGTGTGTTGATGAGGTGTATTTGTGGCTGTGATGAGCGGGCAGTGCGGGCATTGTCTGGCCTATGCCAGCTGATGCCACCACACCACCCCACTTCCCCCCACAGCCCTCTGTGTCTAAGTGCAGTTTAAAATTGGAAGTGGGCACCGGCACTTGGGATGAGGCTGAAAGAACCCCCTTGCCAAATGCCATTGAGTGTGCTCACTACCAAGGCCCTAAGTGTGTGTTTGCGTGGAATGTCGTTGGTGGAAGTGTTTGATGTGAAAATAAAATTGGGGGGCAGGTTGCCTCAGGAATGTGGAAATGGGGTCCATACCCACACCTCCTGACTTGCCCAAACCCCCAAGGTCCCATGTGCATGTTTGTGTGATGATGTGAGGGAGCAGGATGAGAAAAATGAATGGGGATGGGGCGGAATGGCTGGTAGGCCTAAGTCCAGGGAGCCAGCTCCCCCACTGGCCCCAATAGGCACCTCCGTTTCCAAAATGTCCCCAGGGCATGGAGTCCCCAGCCCATCTCGCCAAAATAATAGATTTTCAAAAGTTACTTTCAGCTTCAAATAAAGAAAATGACTCATTAATTAATATACAAATGTCCATGAAAAATCTATAACTGACTAAACAAGCAAATGAAAGAGTTATAGTAAATTATGGGTTTTAAATGCTATGTTCCTGTTACGACTGTCACGGTGCGGCATGGGTGGAGTTGGACCAGGAGGCAGAAATGCAGCTCAGGTAAAATTAAAACGGATTTAATGAGTACTGACAGGTAGATTACAACAGGAGCAACGTAACACAGGAACGTTCCACCAGCGCACTGGATGGTTTGAGAGAGGAGTAAAGGAAGCCATCTTTGTCAAATGGGACAAACTTATATTAAATAGAGGAGGAGGTCTCAGGTTTCACCTTTCCAACACATAAAATGCAGCTCTGAATCTTATTTCCAAGCAGTTTCAGTCAAAATCACACCCTCCTGCAGTAATCAGCACGATTCCCTCCCAATTTAGGCTAATGACCCCAACAACTCATCGAGTGTAGGAAGGAGGGGTATTCATAAGAAGTTTCTGCTTATTAAGCAACAAAAGACAGTTACAGTTTAAAATAGGGCTGCAACAACGAATCGATAAATTAGATGAAAATCGATTACTAAAAGCGTTGGCAACGAATTGCGTCATCGATTCGTTGTGTTGCACAACTGTTCCAAAAGCCCGCTCCCCTCCCGCCCGCCGTTGCACGCAGACCGGAGAGCCGGCAGGTGTTTGGAAGAGGAACATGGCAGAAGCAGCGAGACCCCAAAAAAGTAAAAACTTCTAAAGTTTGGGAGCATTTTCAGTTAAATCAGGCGAAGAAATTCGTTACCTGCAACGTTTGTAGGTCAGACTTAGCATGGCATGGGGATACTACAGTGATGATGCAGCGTCTTAAACGCAAGCATGTCAGAATCATCAGCGAGGAAGGAGAGAGCTCGGTGTCCGGGTAAGTTAAAAACTTTTCAAAAGTGATTCACCCAAGCCCCGGATTATTACACAGGCTAGACATGCCCTAAGCTCGTAAAAAAAGTCTATAAAATCGTAAGTGCACGCTATTAGATTGGGGGGGACTCGCACTGCTGCGAACCGGTTCCGCCGTCACATTCCCGCAGAAACTGGTTGATCACACCGGGCCAGACTACTAGCATGTGGCTACACAACCACAATGTCCTCAGAAGCGAAAACGCTTTTAAAAGGGAGGGAGGAGTCCTAACTGCTGCTGCAGGCGTGTTGTGTGTGAGTGCAGTTATATACTGGTTAATATATTTTTGGGTTCAGTTGCTTTCATGTGGCCTAATGTGAGTCTATTTGGGATCATTGGAATGATCAGCAGCATTTCTTGATGTGACTTTATGGCAGTTGCCCAGGGCATCATCACAAGGAGGATGGCATTCATTTACTTTTGTTTTATTTGGTATTTTTTCAGTCATTTTTGGAAATAGTGATTAATTTTGATTAATTCACAGCCTATGTTTAATTACATTTAAAAATTAGTTGTTTGACATCCCCAATTATAATAAATGTCTACAGATGAGATCAAACAAAACAGATGAGAATTGCCCTTAAAGAGCAAGTCACCCCCAAATAAACTTTTTTTTTGCTGATAAACTAAATAAACGAGTGTCTAATCGTGCTGCAGACACGTGTCGTCAATAATTTGGCACTCAGCTGTTTAACTTGGACCAAGCATTTTAGGTCACAGATAGGTGTAGCTTAGGGTCTCTGTCTAAACACCTTATAAGACAATTTAGGTGATGGCATATTGTTTTTCTGCTACTGAACTGTTTTATAATAATGTTGTGTTTAGTGAAGGAAGGAGAGAAATAACGTTTCCCTAGCAGTTTTTTAAAATGTCCCTATGTAATCCGATTAATCGATTAATGGTGTCGAGACCCCATCCGATTCAGCGATTATCCAAATAATCGTTTGTTGCAGCCCTAGTTTAAAAGCTTGACCCTCCCATATTCCAATGAAAACTGACAAAGCTCCTCGAATGAGAAGCAAAGCGTTCTCCAGAAACCAAAAAAACTCCAGTTGCCTTCAAACTGGAAAGTTTCCTGAACATTTACTTACCGGGAGTCTTTAGAGTCTTTGGAGTGTTGCTCACATGATCAAAGGAGTGGACTAAGACCCTAGACCAAGCAAAGTCTTTGACTGCGTTAGTTTGGTGCAAGACAGCCAGGATGTTCTGCTAGAGAGCAGAATTCATGGTTCCATGATTACAGCTAGTGCAGTTGCGCCGCTTGCAGACAGGCAAGGCAGGCAAATGCGTTGGGCCCCCAGACCACAAGAGGGCCCCAGAGGGTGAACAAACTTTGAAGCTGGAGCCTTAACAGTAGCTTGGACTACAGTAACTGTCAACCAGACTGGTCTCTTTTGGCTCAGCAGCCGGGTTCCTGACTGGTTCTGCATGCTACGAACACACTACATCAATTCTGGCCTCCTAACGTTGGATTCTGATTTATTTTAGAATCCAATCAAAGATCATTGCCTTTGCTTTTACATGTTTGCAGGGTATATCTGACCTCTTGGTTTGCTAAACCCCCCTCATGAGCTCCTTTCTCAACACCATGATTTCCTGGTTACCTCGAGGGTAACCAGGGTTATGCAAATTGTGGTTCCAAATGAGGTGGAGCCTAAAGCGTGGTTTATGCTTGACGCATTCACTTTCCGCGCGGTGATGCGGCTCGCGGCTGGAACGCGCTTCACAACTCGCAGCGTTTATGGTTTGTGCGGCTCGTCTCTGCGGTGAGCCAATATTCTCCCAAACTGTAGGGGGCAGCATGGAGCTCTACAGCATGCATCCAACACTACACCATAGTAGAAGTAGAAATGACTGTTTACAACATGGTATTTCAGCATTTTTAACAGCGTTCTCGTCTTTTCCGACAGTGCGAGCTATTTCTCTCCAAGAATTATTAACAACATGTTGATCACGGTGATCTCTGAGAGCTGAATCATACAAATGTCTGTATTTATGAACCTCTGCCGTGCCGGTCCGCCATGTTTTTCCGCGTCCGACCGTCCGCGTGGTTAGAAATTTTCCGAGGTGCGCGTTGCGGAAATCTTGGGCCGTGCGGAGAAGCGGTGGAGGGGCGTGGTTGTTAAAATGACGCAAAATGACGCAACTTTTCCGCGCGGAGCCGTGCGGACCTCGCGGACGCGTCAAGCATAAACCAACCTTTATCATATCACACCTCGTAGCTTTGGGCTGAGTTAAGTCGTCTAAAAGCTCATTACTACACAATAGCTTTTTCTGCTACTACTTGATTTAAACTATTTCCTTCTTTTTTTAATTGTTTCTTTTTAATTGTTCATATTGTGTCTTGAACTTGTGATCTTATCCTGTGAAACTCAACGTTCGTGTTCCGTGTTCAACGCTTTTATGGCCACAAATACAGACAAACTGAGAAAATCACTTCCACAAATGAATGGCCTGACATCTGCCCAGATCTATAACAACTATACTCAAAGGTATTTCACTTTTCTGACATGTTTCAGAGCATAACTCTCACATTGTTGAATGTCAGTGACTGAGGGGTTGGACATACACGTTAATAAAAGGCTGATTGTTGACAATGGCCCTGAGTAGGCAGAGGCATGGTTGGAATTGTGCTCCCATCTCAATGCTGCGATTAACACACTCGCTGTCTGCATATCAGCTGCGCTGCTCTAACTTTACTCTCAAGGCTGACTCTTTGTGCCGGTGTTTAGGATACAGTCGATCCAAAACAAGAATCTGAATCGGTGCCTGAGCCCAGCAGCTCAAAGACCGCAGAACCCAAACCGGAGGAAGAACCAGAACCCGAACCTGAGAACGGAGACGTTCACCCCGCAGAGAACCAAGAGGAGAAAAACCCAGAGGAGAATTCAGTTATGAACTTCTTCAAAACACTGGTAAGTGACACTTTGAGGAAGGTTTCAGCACTTTTGGTGTTTCTGTTGGTCCCATCAAAGACAAGAACGCAGAAGTGTGTCTTTTCAATAAATTCTCATTAATATTGTAAGCCACTTTTACTTTCTAGCCTTTTATAGCCACTGTTTCAACTCCATTGACCAGCTGACGTTAAATATGATTTTGTCTAGGATTTCTAAAGTTAGTTGGGTTTTTGTTTTGACGTTTTACCTTTGGGAACCAATGGCACATTGTCCAGTGTCTCACTGAGCCGATGCTTTTGACGACAGGTTGCTTTCAATGTTTATGTTTCTGGCATTCATGTCTGACGGAGTCTAAATCTACTCCTGAGTCTTAGGGCCCTGAAATCTTTAACATTGGTAGAAAATTCCCGAGACAAATTCCCTCTCAAAAGTTCGAGTCATGGCGGGTGTCCGAAGCACTTCTCAGAGCAAGAAAACAAGACAAATGCAGGATGGCTGTGGGAGGGGTTGGTAACTAAGTCACAAATAAAGTAAGAGTAAATTTCTTAGACATAAGTAACTGATCCGCTCATGAAGCACTATAACCTCAGTCAGGATTCTTCCTTTATCCTAAGTTTTCCTGCATCTTTAGACATTTAAAATACCATTTTGAACTTCATGAAGCTTCATGTTTTACTCTGAATTATGTAATTGATAAATTAACATTAAAAAAATAAAAAAAAACATATATGTAAAATAAAATTATTTTGTCTCTACTTACCCTGCCACCTTCTGGTGTAGCAGGGTATGTAGTGAGGGACGCCAGAGCACAGGTGAGTTTATGACCTATGAGGCTAACCTCGCTGGTATTCTTTTGGGGTAAACTTAGAATGAATAACTTTAGAAATTTAGACTTTATTACACATTTTCTGTTTATGTATAACATATCCAGAGTTGACATTTTCAGGAAATTTAAATTATCCATTTATGACAGCTAGTGGCAGAGTTTTTATTACAGTAGTACCAATACGAAATAACCAATAAGTGCCTAACATCTGGCCTATTTAGGGTAAGAATCTAAATCATATTTTGACATGTGTAGACACCCACTTACCAACCAGAATGATTATTAATTTGAAGAAGACGCGCCTGGCATGTGAGGCTGATTTGAAATTCAAATTTAAATATTTTCTCCCAATTCTGTGCTTCCAGCTTGTCTCCAAAGCCGGGCGTACACTGGGCGACTTTTTCACTCGCAGCGTTCAGCTTCAGCTCAAGCTGTACGACTTCCTCGCAGGGCAGATCTCACGAGTCATGTGCTCACACTGCACGACCCAGTTCTCGGATGCGATCTGACTGCTCACACTGTACGTCTGGTAGCAACACGTCGGCCCTAAAAATATGCTAAAAATAGCAGTTTTTACTCAACACGTTAGACTTTTTTGTCTTGTTTTGCCTGTTGTCCTTCGGGAGTGCTGCAGGAGGACACACAGGGATTTATGGGGGTTGGATGAGGAAAACGAAATAAAGAAAGTAAATCTGTGTTTTGTGATCAGTTTAATTTGACATGAACACGACAAACACGCCTTCTTGACAATCTTTGTGAGTAAAAAAAAAACGTGTAGAAACAAAAACGAACAACGTGTGTTATTAGGGAAATAGCGAGCGGCGTTGATGCAGGATTGCGCATGCGCCGTGAGTGGTTCTGATGCTTTTTGGGTCGCAGCCGCTCGCAGCGCCGCTTCAACAGTGCGATACCCTCACGAGGGACGAGCAAAATATTAAACACGCCAGAAGTCCGTGCGAGCTCACGATTGCTGATCGGTAGCTGGTCACGTGGTGTTAATCGCCTCTCATAACCCCCTGTACACTACACGACGCTCAGCGCAAAACTCGCCCCGATCTCGTGGATTCTCGCACGAGTGGAAAATCAGCTCATAAAAGTGAAAAAGTCGCACAGTGTACGCCTGGCTTTACAGTGAGATTGGGGCTTCAGGACTTGGTGCATGAAAAGTGTGAAACAAACATTTAGCAAAAAGATTTAGCTAATTATTATATTTAAACAGTTTTTTAGTGTATGTGCAAATCTTTTTCCTCAGTGGATGTAAAGTAGAAGTTTCACTGTTTGTGGCAGTAAACTAATGTCTTCATAAGAAAATCTGCCAGGATGGCAACGCCTGATGGCAAACCCACAACAAGCAGCTATTGTATTTCCTCTTCATCATGCCGTCTCTTGGATTCATGTTGTTTTAAAGAGTTACCAGTGCCGCGGCTCCATGCTAATCAAGTCTCTGAACATGCGGGAATGTGATGGCCTATTGTTTGCTCCATAGGCTGAGCTCACAAGGGAGGCTTGTGCGGCTGGAAGTTAAGATTTGTGCAGATAGTGCGAGGGCAGGCCTACGCCATCTCCAACACACAAAGGCTGTCACAATGACAGCGCATAAACTGTACGTGCTCTATCGGGGCCCTCAGTGTCCACACTGTCTTCCTCACCATAAAGGCCTGTGTCAGAATTCATGAAATGCAGCTGTTGTTATGCAAAGTTTCTGTTAAATCAGCGGAGATCAATCCCAGAGAAATAAATCCACCAGGTGTTTCATGACGCCGAACTTTTAAAATTTTAAAGCAAATGTTCTGCGTTTGTGCTTTTGACACGAAATTTTCATTCCTATGTGTTACAGGTTACCACTAAAACTGCCAAAAAGGAAACAGCTGGTCCTGATGCCACAAAAGATCAGGTGAACAGATGTTTGGCTCTGAATGTAGTTAGGCCTTTGCACTATAAGTTCTTCATTACACACCACGGTACAGCTGTTAATACTGACTGAAAAAAATGTCAGGAGCTAACTGGCGAACGTAGACTGCCATTAGTTTTGGGAACTGCAAAGAAAGATGGCAACATGGGTTCACTGCTGAGCTATGTAGCTGATTTTAACCATTTATTCTAACGGCTTCCATTTTCTGTTGCAAATAGTTTCCGAAGGAGACCCAACCTGCAGCAACAACTACTGTGAGCATTTAGCCATTATTTTTTATTTTTTTATTTGACTAATAATCAATTTCCCTCTGGGATTAATAAAGTATTTTTGAATTGAATTTAATTGAATTAGGTTTTACGTGCTAATTTTACAAAATCAATTAACAAATGTAGACATTGAGAAATAATCTTGTTGGTCATTTTATGTGTGTTTCTGTGTAAAAACTATAAATAATGACGATCTTTCCTTTCGATGGCATCTTGAGTAACTAAACTCAGAGAAATGTAGTTTACATCTAATCAGCTAATGACCAAAAGTGAAACCAAGACCAAAGAGTTGCAGCCATAATAAAATGTTTTTAAGCTTTCAAACTCTTCTGTATATTTGTTCTGTGTGTTGATTCATAATTATCTTCTTTTTTCTTCTTTAACACAGTGAAATAATTAGATGTTTCTTTACCTTTGGCTGACCTGTTTCAGCCGGAACATCCGCCTTCGTCAAAGCCGCCGGCTGTTCTTGCCGTCACTTCTGTTTGTGCAAAGGACGATGTCGCCCTCTGCTGCCCGTACCCTTCATGCTGATAAAGCAGTCCCATGTGTGATCCAGCCATCGACATATATACTGGACAATTTGTGTCCATAGGCTCCAGTTATGCGTTTTCGTGCCAAAATGGGAGGTGGCCACCACCGCCATTTTGACCGTGTCACAGGTTCCGTCGAGCCCAGACAATTCCACAAAAAGGAAAAGAGTTGGAGCTGAGGGTGGGGCTGTAAGGCTGGGATCAAATGACGACACCCGTTGAACTGACGCGGTGTAGCTACAAGCTTACCCAAGGCTAATGTGGAGGTGGGAGCTAAGCTAACAGAGGTAGCAACCTAGCTACGGTTTTACCGTATATTACATTTAAATTTCATGGTTAAACAGTACATGTTAAAATGGTAGATAGCTAGCTACTTTGAAAAGCTCAGCTAGTGCAAGAGCAGCAGTGACCTAAAATGCATAAATTTAATTTTACTTACCGAAAAAAATGGCGTGAAGACTCCTTGGATGCTCTATTAGTGCAATTAATACCACATCACGTCATTTTGTCCAACAATTGTACAAATAATATCCAAAAAAGAACGCACAAATGCTACAACTAATGGTCTAAGTTCAGAGACTGAAAATGACGGAACGGTTTTCAGGCGAGGCCGAGGCTCTACTGAGGCCTTTCCCCGGAGCTAGCTCGGCGGTCACGTGGGTCTGATGCTCATTAATTATACAGAATTTTAGGCTTTTAATACACTTAAACAGAAGAGTGACAAAAAATTCACCCCCCTCAGAGTAGTCATGAGTGTAAACTAGATCATTTAAACCAAAAACATGCTTTGGTACCAGGCTGTAAACATGTTTATTTCTGCTGTGAAATTGGTATTTTTAACATGGGAGTCAATGAGGATTTGCTCGCTTCTGACACCAGCCCCTAGTGGATGAGGGTGGAACTGCAATTTTTGTCACTTCCTGTTTTGCTTCATATCCAGACCCGAATTGTGGGGGCTTGGATCCAACGTGTAAACAGAGACCGTGGTGTTTAAATGTTGCATAAACAGAAGTGACGCCACAAACAGCTGGCATCTCTGATGAAGGCGTTGGTTCCGGCTGAAACATGTCAGCCAAAGGTAAAGAAACATCAAATTACTTCACTGTGTTAAATAAGAAAAAAGAAGATCGTTTTTATTCTTATTATTTTTGCTCATATAAACAATAAAATAAAAATTATATTTTAAACGCCTTTGCTTTGATTTTACTTGGTTATTTGTTCAGAAATATTAGAAAATTGATAATTGACCTGAACCGCATAATGTACCTGAAGTAGGAGGAGAAATCTACCATTTTCCAGTGAAATTTTCTATTTTGATTGGAGACGAAATCAAATGATTTCCTTTTCACTGGCTGCGGTATGGGTTTTTAATCATGCGTCCAAAGTACTGCTCAAAAAATTAAGGTTTTGAATTACTGTGGTCTCTAGTACGGATGAATGTCTTGTGGTTAGATTTTGGTGCGTGGGGGTGGGGGTGGGGGGGCTATTGTGGTGCTATTTCAGGGGGTAGGGGTTTGTCAGAGGACCAGGGGCAGAAAACAGCATGATCTTTAAATGTGTGAGTACCTGAGTGGCCAGGCTATTTGCATATGGGACCTAGACAGGCCCAGCCCAAACGGGTAATGTGGGTTCATCCATCTGTAGACTACCAAATACAGGAAGAACATGACAGGTCCAGGGCATTATGGATTAGGTGGCAGACCAAGGCAAAAGTCTTGGTGGTCTGATGCCTAGAGATGACATATGGCATTTGGGGCATGGACTGTCACCTCTCTAACAGGGAAAGAGCCAAACCTTGTGAGTAAGGGGGTGCAGTACTGGCTAGATATAGTTAAACTCACTTCAATTCATACCATTAGCTCTGAAATCCAAGTCTTTAAGAGGGGTTGGGCATTCTTTTGTGCTGAACTTGCTCAGTATGAGACTTGACGGCTTGGAGTCGACTTCTTGTTAGCCCCCAGACTGCGGTTGTATGTTGAGGTTTACCGGAGTGGACAAAAAGTTAGCATCCCTGTGCTTTCGGGTTGGGGACCCAGTTGGGATTTGCTCTATCTGCAAATCAGAGTGATTGATCTCATTCAGACTCATCTTGGGCCTAGAAAGGTCAAACAGCCGGTGTCCTGGTGCAGCTACAACAACCTGTTGCTAAATACCTGGAAGGCAGGAGGTTATTGTGGACTTTGAGAAGCACACAGCCCCATCTCCCCCTTCGCCCATATCCCTGGCTGACACTCCAATCATGATTGTTGACTCGTGCAGCTTCCTGGGTACCACCATCACCCAGCTGAAAACTCACTTGTTGTTTTAGCATCCTTCATCACCACCCTCTCCTCATTCTACTCGTTCTACCAACTCCGCCTTTCCCAGGATTCACAGATTTCCCTCTTTCCTATTCATTCAAAATGTTTTCTAATTTTTAGGTTATTTTTAAATCATTTAGAAATTTTTTTTTATTTTTATTTATTTATTTTTCGTTCTTGTAAAGCGCCCCATCATTTCTGTCTTGAGAGGCGCTATAAAAAAGTTTTCTTTCCTTCTGCGTTAAATGTGGTGTTCAATGACCGCGAGAAGCTTCGTTTTTCACGGCGCTCTGTGAGACTACTAGCTCCATGAATTACGTTGTTGTGGGGCAATTCTGGCATGTTATTCGATGTTGGGAATTTAGTATTGAAGATTTTAAAGCAGCTCGATCGCTGCTTATTTTATTTAGCTTTCATTTTGCTTCACAAGCAAGTCTTCTAATGCCGGTTGTTTGGACTACGTCTGCAGATGTCATTTCCTACTGTGTTGCAACCAATCACTGCAAATTTAACAAACGTTCCACTCAGCTATTCCACCGGGAAGTATTTACCACTCTTGTACTGTAGCGTAGCTGGCCATAGCAGCTTGTGTAAAAGCTATTCACAACATCTTTGGTGTGTTCTTGCTGTGTTGAGTTTCAAATACCATCTTTTAGTTCTTTTGAAAACACAGAAAAGGTTTATTTACCTGCAACGTTTCGTTTGCGGCTGCAAACATCATCAGGCTGACGTCGATGGTGGCGCCACTTCCTCCGTTTATCCGCGGGCAGCAGAGGACGTTGTCGCCCTCTGCTGCCCGCTCTCCCCTCTCCGATGATGCAGTCCCATGCGTGGTCCAACGAGTAAACTCCATCGTCTCTGTTCATGGTCCCACGTTCATGTCTCCTTATTTCTATAGCTTCTTTTATCCATCTTTTGTATTTCTGTTGTTCGGTGTTTACGATCCTTGTGTTGTCCCAGTCCATTACATGCTCTTCTCTTGTGCAGTGATCTGTTACGGCTGACTTCTTTATTGTGCTTTCTGCTTCTTGTACTGCTGCTCTTGTGTGTCTTCGACTTGTTTCTTTCTCGCACTCCTTTCTATGTTCTATTGTTCGTGTGTTGAGTTGGCGTCCGGTTTCTCCTATGTATGTTTTATTGCAAGGTTTGCATGGGATTTCATAAACGACTCCACATTTAAGTCCAGCTGGTATCTTGTCTTCTGCACAAGAGAAAACCACATAATGGACTGGGACAGCACAAGGATCATAAACACCGAACAACAGAAATACAAAAGATGGATAAAAGAAGCTATAGAGTTAAGGAGACGTGAACGTGGGACCATGAACAGAGACAATGGAGTTTACACGTTGGATCGTGCATGGGACTGCATCATCGGAGAGGGGAGAGCGGGCAGCAGAGGGCGACAACGTCCTCTGCTGCCCGCGGATAAACGAAGGAAGTGGCGCCACCATCGGCGTCAGCCTGATGATGTTTGCAGCCGCAAACGAAACATTGCAGGTAAATAAACCTTTTCTGTGTTTTAAAAAGAACTGAAAGATGGAAATATTCACAACATGTTAACTTTGACCAAAACAGGTTAATCTAGTAGCTCCCGAGCCAGGCTGGCCTGTGTTGATGTGTCAAGGAAAGTTTTCTACTTGATTTTGCTGCAGTTTATTTATTTATTTATTTATTACACTAATAGAATATTTCTATGGCATTCTCTCATCTAACCAACCACAGAATTCCACATAAACCTCCATCAGATGACATTGACAACAGTGTTGAGATTTAGAAAAATAACGTTTTGTGTTGAAACGTTGCTGTTTTCAGATGTTTTAAAATTGGGTCTGAACTGCAGTTAAACTAGCAATTAGTCCATGAGTAGAATGACATAACTTGAAGTTATGTCATTCTACTCATGCACTAATAAGAAGTTATTAACTTCTATTTCTCCAAACCGTGGCTGTTCAGAAAACTACAGCTTAAAACATCTTTTTTTTTTCAAAATTTACACAGAAATACACTTCACAATGACCTCAGTGGCCCTTTAATTGTTGCTAATGTGAAATCCCTGCTCTGTTATGCACAGGTTGCACAAATATCTGAACCACCTTCTGCACCTAAAGGAATGCCTGCCCCTCCGCCACCTCCTCCTGAACCTCCAAAAATGGACACCAAGGGTGAACCAACGACCAAACTCATAGAGTCAACACCAAAAGACGAAGCTAAAGCGGCTGCAAAACAACCCGAGGCCTCAAAAGGAAAATCAGCTAAAGATACTTTCAGTAAATTCTTTCACCCAAAGGTAAGGAAAGATAGAAACATGTGATTACTACGTGGAGACATAACTGCTGATTAAGACATTTAAAGTGTGTGCCACAGCTTGTAGTGAAACGTGGTTTGTGTCAATTTGAGGTTCTGATAGGAGTCAAGAAACCAAAAGGTGCTTCAACAAGTGGAGCCAATATCAAGCCTCCTAAAGGGGTATGGAAGATTATTATACTCTCAAACTGACCACGGCTCATCTGGTTACTAACAAACACAACCTCATTGGGTGATGGACATGTGCACTGAAGCAGCTGCTTCATAAAATGGCAACCTTCTGAAACCAAGCATCCATGTTAACTCATTCACTGCCAATGACGACTAAAGTCGTCATTTACATTGTTTTACCGTGTGGGCGTCGGAACGAGCCCCCGCACCATGAGAACGAACACGGCTCAGCTCTAAAGCCGATCTTCATGCACGTGCGTCACACGTCACGTGATCAGGAAGCAGAAAATCCATGTGTTAGGAGATCGTTTTGGGTCGCTGCTGTAAAGAGAGCGAGGCGCGAACTGGAAAAGCTTCTGCCGATCACAATTCGAAAACAGATTATGAAAGAACGAATAACCCTACCATACCATACCACCTTTATTTATATAGCACTTTAAAAACACAGCCATACGGCCGACCAAAGTGCTGAACAGTCGCACAATAACAGAGATATAAACATAAAACTGAGCAATAAAATACAGTCAACAAATAAGAAACAAGCCAATAAAAAAGTTCCGATAAAAACCTTCCAATGGATGATAAAATAAGTAGTAAAAACCAAAATAACAGCTAACTGTTAAAAGCAAGGGTAAAATAGTGTGTCTTTAGTCTAGACTTAAAAACTGCCAGTTGAACTGCGGCTGGAAGTTCGTTCCACATTTTAGGACCGGCAACAGAGAAAGCTCTTTGTCCGCATGATTTATAACATGCTTTTGGTACCTCGAGGAGCAACAGGCTGAAGGACCTGAGTGTGCGACAGGGAGTATAAATCGCAAGAAGATCAGAGAGGTACACGGGGGCAAGACCATGGAGGGATTTGAAGACAAAAAGCAATGTTTTATATTGGACCCTGAAAGTGATGGGCAGCCAATGAAGGGATTTTAGAACTGGAGTTATGTGCTGGCGCCTGTCAGTACGTGTGAGGAATCTAGCTGCTGCGTTTTGGACGAGTTGAAGTCTGGCAAGGGTTGACTTATTGACACTCAGCAATATTGCGTTGGAATAGTCGAGCCTAGATGTGATAAAAGCATGAACAACTGGTTCCAAATTTTCCCAGATAAAACTGCTCTTAATTTGGACAGACGGCGGAGTTGGAAAAAACTGGATTTTACGGTGGCATTGACCTGGGCGTCCATCCTAAGAGATGAATCCATCTTTACACCCAGGTTAGTCACAACGGTTTTTAGATTTTGAGAAACAGATGAAAGATCTGGGGTTTGGAATGGGCTCTGACCGGATTAAACAGGATCAGTTCAGTCTTGGAATCGTTGAGATGCAGGAAATTTGACGCCAGCCAACATTTCACGTCTCGTAGGCAGTCTAGAAGAGGCTGGATTGATTGCTGGGGTTTCACCGACATGTAAATCTGGCAGTCATCAGCATATAAATGATATTGAACAGAGTGTTATTTTAGGATAACGCTCGAAACATGCGGATTCTTCCTGATTTAAGAGGTGTGTCTACTCTTTGTATTGGTAGTTTTGGTGTTGACATCATCATAGAGCGCAACGTTCTGTGACTGTTCAAAAAACAGTGAAAACGCTGAAAAACGCTGGCAGCGACGGGCTTTTCTGATCAGGAAATGGCTGGCAGTGAATGAGTTAATGTTATTTATTTTCCCCTCCCCTTAGAATTATTTACATAATTCATGTAGGTTCTGCCATTGTTTTCTTCGCATAGTATTATGAGACAGAGAGAAATATTAATAAAAACGAATACTTTTTTTTATAATCTGAATACAAAAGTTTTCATGGTCAATGAATTTAAAAAAGATGACAAAACTCAAGATTTCTATTTACCTTAAACATCAAATGTACCTGATCTATAAATGTAGATGCTTAATATATATTTTGTTTATGACTTTTTAAATCCTAAAACATTCTGTTGCACAAAAAACTTAAAGAGCAAGTCACCCCCAGATCAACTTTTTTTCTGATAAACTATATAAATGTGTGTCTAATCGTGCTGCAGACACATGTCGTCAATAGTTTTGCACTTTAGTGCATTTTAGTAAAATTTTTAATTTTCTGTCTAAAACTGTCAGAGTTGTGCCGCTGTCAGGTAAAAAATCAACTCTGCACTGCATTTGAATTTAAATCTGCCATCGCTATTGGCTAAGAGGTACCCTAGAATGCTAGCTGGTACCATATGATGTCACAATGTCATTGTGAGCCTGTGTGTGTGTGTGTGTGTGTGTGTGTGTGTGTGTATGTACTGGTTAGCGGCTCCACCCTCTCGGTCTGCTAGGCAACAGCATTTGTTGCATTTTTCAAACAGGAAGTGGGAGTTGAGTAAGAATCTGGTAGGGGGTGACTTGCTCTTTAAAAAGCAGATCCCTTTAAAGTGGGTTATGTTTCATTTAAACATGCTAACCATTAACCACGTAGTGTAACCTGAGTTATTCAGCCCTTTTAATGTATTCATATTTCTCTTTCTGTGCTCATTTACAACAAAAATAAATAAATAAATAAAAACTAAAACACATTCAGCCATATTACCAATAAGGTAAGGTGAGGTTGTAATTTAAAACTGTCTCATTAAGACTTTGTGCTAGCATACATGTTATTATTGGAGCAATACGTTTAGCTTTTAAAGCAAAACATTACCTAGAAAAACCATATAAGCACATGTACTCTGATTTTAGCACAATTTTCTATGGATTATTATGGCCCAGAAAGAAACTATAGAGCAAAGAGTGTTTCCTCACCACCACACCCCCTGAGTGTGAGATGGGAAATATTTCTGCTGTTTCCTGAACAGAGTATGTCGTTGTAGCAAAGCTGAAGTTTTATCTTTTCACAGCCATCCAAGAGATGTTGTCCAAAACTCACTATTAGTTTTCAATTTCTGAGATGACTTTAAATGAAGCCGGAAATCTGCCAATTTTCAGTCCACTGTTATTCCTGCTACATCCTCACTTTTTACCTTTTTCTCTTCGTATTAAGTTGGAAATATTTTACTTTAGAAAGCCAATACTTGCACAAGTCTCACTCAGTGCATGAGACTTCAAATTCAAGATGGCAAAGATGTGAATCCAATTATTTGCACGCTTTCACGAGAGTGGAAAATCCCACCGTGGTCATGTGAGTTTAACCCTCTCAGGCTCAAAATAAGTTTTGATAAAAGAATAAACAACTAAGTCCTTCAGGGGTACTTCTGAGTTAAAAATGCTCATGAATGTGGAGTAACCAGGTAGGTAGGTTTTAGCATTGCAAATCTGCAACGCCTGCCTCCAGAGGGTTAAACGTTCTGAGAATAACTAATCTGAAAGTAGCTAACTAAAGTGACAATAATGAAAAAATTAAAAATGACAGAAAACAGTTATCAGCTTTATGGGGTGACAGTGGCTCATGGTTCAGGATTTCACTCTGTAATCGGTGGGTTGCCCCGGCTACGTTTGTGTCATCCGAAGTGTCCTTAGGCAAGGCCGAATTATGATTTTGCCCCCACAGGCTGGAAGATCATCTCACAGCAGCTTGACTCTGTGACAACAGTTTGCCACATTTCTCAGGCATCCACAGGTCTATAGATGATGTCCCTCAGTGGTTGGATCCACTAGTTATTACTGTATTTGATCATTTTTTGCAGGTTGGCTTTACATTGTATGTTTTATGTTAGGTTGTTGGTTTTTCTGTTCATACAGACAAACAAGGACTCACCACAGCCAGATATTGAAGTTGAAGTACAGCCAGGTATAGAAGTGAAGGTAATTTAGAGAGTCCGCTCAATCCCCTTAGATGATTTAAAAACTGTTAGAAAAATGTAAATTGTTTATTGGTGTGAGTCACATCTACTCTGCAGGAGACATCACTGGAGATGCCAGAGCCAGTTTTAGAAATGCAGGTAAATAAAAGATTTCAATGCCTTTTTGAGCGAGCGCTGTGGGATTCTCATTACATCACTTCCATGTGTTCAGATGATTAAAAAACAGGTTGAACTTCAAGAGGCTGCAGTTGAGGTGGGACAACATGCTCTAGAAGAGCAGGTAAATGAGGAAGAAGGGCCGTGGTGGTTTCAGTTTTAACCTTTACTCTGCAGCAGCATCTCTACAAATATTCATGATTCATTGTCGTACCACAGACAACCCTGTTTCCAGAAAAGTTGCAAGAGTTCTGAATGTTAGACCTTAAACCATGCCATGAGTACCGGGATAACTAAACAGCTGCACCTGTGAGTTGTGCTAAGGTGTGATTGTTGAATGACCTTGTTGAAGTTCGTTCATACATCTAATTTCAGCTGCTTATGAAGTTTGTTTAAAAAAGATAAAGTGTTTAAAGACTGTCTGGACATACTGGTATTATTGGATCAAAGTTACCATAACTCCTAACACACTAGGGATGAAACTGGTTTTCATGGTTAGGCTACTGTAGTCCCTATTTTAGTGGTTAATTTTAGTGTTTTAAAGGAAATAGGGGCTGCATGACTTCATTCTGTTTAAAGTCGACTGTCAAGTAATGAAAATCGACTCCACTTTGACTGGTCGTTGATGATGTCATACACCTGAAGCGGCGGCGGGTGAGGGGGGGTCGGTTGGTTCGCTGGAGTTTTTGACAATTAAGATTGCGCCCACATTTTCAAAGTTAAACACATTTCTTTTAACAACGGTAGTTTCTGCTTCAGCCCTCTCCCCCCTCCCCCTGCGCAGCGGCCACAAACTCACTGATGCGCCTGCAGCCTCTCAGAGTTCCTGCTACTCTAGACATTAAAATAACTATTTCATTTTCTGTTCCTCACTTCTGATTACCTTCAGTGGTGTCTGTCTGTTGCAACCACCAGGTACAAAAACTAACTTGTTTTTATTTGACTATTTTTCTGTCCTGTCTGTTTATTATCTTCCTGCATCTCCTCTCAATCCTAAAGAGAAACTAGGCTACTACATGGGTTCATATATACTGTATTCACCTTATTATGAGTTACCTTTGAACTGCAGTTCTAAAGGATCTACCGACCGCAAAAACAGCGGGGTGCGCGCCGGCCACACTGGTGAGGTGCGTCACCGGAGGGCAAAACAGGTGATGTGCCCCGCTCCGCAGCAGCGAAACGCATCAGGCACAAATAAAAGAATAAAAGACAGAAAACATAAAAGGAAATGAGCAGACATGAACGATCGCGTGTTAAATTAGTTTTTGAGGTGGCGACACCTGATTTGATAATGTTACTGTGGCCATGCTCAGGATGCAGATGTCTGGAGCGCGTCAACAATCAGAGCTTTGCATGCGCAAGCTGGTTAAGGTTAGGATGGGGTGAGGGGAAGGTTAAATTGCAAGAGGGTAAAGGTCACAATTCGGTCAAATGTCCGTTTTACGGCGGTTGTCAGTACCGACGCTCTGGCCCAGCGCGTCGCCTCTCGACGAGCAGGAGCTCGTCACCTGCTGTCTTTTCCGAGGACTGCATCTTGCCGGTCATTATCACGTGACAGCGATTAGTCGATGCCAGGCATAAAAAGTCACTACAGAGCCGTGAAGTCGACTAGTCGACTGTGATAACAAGCGGCCGAAATTAGTTTTGTCTGCAGAGTGGCTGGGCTCTACCTTAGAGATAGGGTGAGAAGCTCGGTTATCCGGGAGGGGCTCGGAGTAGACCTGCTGCTTCTCCACACCGAGAGAAGCCAGTTGAGGTGGTTAAATGTCTCCTGGACACTTCCCTGATGAGGTTTGCCAGGCACATCCAACCTGGAGGAGACCCAAAGAAAGACCCAGGGTACAATGGAGGGACTATGTATCTCGCCTGGCATGAGGATGTCTTGGGATTCCCGTGGAGGAGCTGGCACAAGTGGCAGGGGAGAGGGGAGTCTGGGCCTCTCTGCTTAGGCTGCTGCCCCCGTGACCCAACTCCGGAAAAGCGGATGACAATGGATGGATGGATGGATGGATCATTTCACTTAAACTGCCATGGCCAGGGTCTCCAACAATTTATTAATGGCTTACCCTCTTTTCTCACACTCCTTGATATATCTGTTGAATTCAAAATAACTGACCCCAACATCCTCCACCACCACACCATTGGGCCATAGAATGGTTTTTGTCCTTTCTCGTAGGTTTGATGAAATGTTTCAATCGGTCAAACCCAATCAAACATCCACGCTGTAACCGGCAGAGTCCCTCAAGGCTGAGTGCTTGGTCTGTACCTGTTCACATTATGCATCAGTGACCCCCAACTAGCTGGCCACTGTATCTATTATTGTTCCCTTTGTGTGACACTTTCAGATGTTATAATGTAAAGCGCATTACAAATATATACTATTATCAATATTAAGATAATGGATGAATGGACATAAAGATGGATGGAAACGCTAAAAACAAAAATATTACATGAAGGTAGTTGATAGCCCAGTAATGCTGCTCTATTTGTGTAATAGTTGTAGAGGAGTTAAGTGCCCACCACATAACCAGAGGGTTACATGTTTGTGCCCCGCTCTGTCTGTCGCAGTTTCTGCGTTCTTTGGAAAGACAACAGAGGAAACCGTTAGTCCCTATAGGCTAGTGTGTGGCAGCCCCACCTCTGGCAGTTAGACCCAGAGCTTTTGTGGCTACATTGTGGCTTGCCACCATCAAACACAAACTTTACTTATATAGCACTTAATCAAACAATGCATGCAATTCAAAGTGCTTAACAAATTAAAAAGGCCTCGCATACCCACATTCCCTCCCATCCCCTTAGTTTTAAAAACAGTCTGACTATAAAAACCCTTTCACAACACTCATCCTCCAGCACACACACACATGCACACGCACCCCACCCCACCCCCACCCCACACCCCCCACCACACCCCGTGGAAAAAAGCACAATGGGCTGAGATCAGATTAGCCAGACCAGCTAAGACAAGGATAAGGAAATGCCATCAGGGGAGCCATCCGCCCCGACAGCAGCAGGTCCACAGCAGCAGCCGAGGCACCGACACAGGGCACCCAGGGCAGGGAGGGCAGAGACCCCCACCTCCACTTAGGCACACCTGGAAAGCACCCAGGCCACTACAGCCAACCACCGCCCCCGGGGCAGAGGGCTCCCACAGAGGAAACACTGGAAAAAGGTTAAATTAAGGTTAAAATATAAAATCATAAGAGCTAAAATGAGAATTGTAATATAAAAAGTTATATAGATATTAAAGTAATGTTGATCATAAATCCATGGTAAAAAAACTGTTTAAAAATGGCACATACAATGAAAGAATACATAAAATAAATAAATAACTAGAGAAATAATAACCTCATTAATTAATTAATTTAAAAGTGATAATAATCAGTTCAAAGATAAGCTAAAAAGATGGGTCTTGAGCCTGTTTCTAAAAACATGAACGTTCTCTGCGGCCCTGAGGTCCCCTGGCAGCTCGTTCCAGAGGCGAGGACCGTAGTACTGGAAGGACGCCTCACCATGAATATGAGTCCTGACTTTAGGGATGACAAGGAGACGGCTGCCAGAGGAGCGCAGAGACTGCGTGGGTTCATACGGTAAAAGCGGTTCTGAAAGATAAGAAGCCCCAAGACCATTAAGACGCTTAAAACCCGCTAAAAGTATTTTAAAATCATCTCCAAACATCTTCAGCACGTGAATATGGGTATGCGTGGGTCAATGGCTTTTGTGTTGGAAGGTGCTTTGGGGAGTTCTAGGACTTTAGAAGGTATCATATGAAATACTGTGCATTTTACCATTTTATTTATACTTTTAGTTTGTAGGAGTACTATTTGCTCACTTTCATCACAATTTTGAAATACTGAGGTAGAATCATTAAGGATTTACACTGCGGACACATGGTGAACCTAGTTTGAAATATTCTAGTTGAAAACATTCACGTCAAGTTATTTTAAAAACCATAAAGTTTATCAATTTTTATACTGTTTAAAATGAGAGCTTCCCAACTGTTTCAGAAGCAGGGTTATTTGTGGTTTTCTTTTGGGTCTTAGTGGTCTAAAAACACTCTTCTGTTTTGTATGTTTTCCATAACTTTCCTTCTGTAGATGATGGGAGATGTCGGCGCAAGAAAGCTGACTTCAACACTTAAGAACTATCCTTTTCCCGTGAATGTTTTTCAGAAGGAAACTACGTGTGAAACTAATGTGATACCTGGGGAGGCCATTGGTCTCAACCTGAACATTCCACTTAGGTGGAAAGTGAGTCATGGTTCCAGATGAAGTTCAGGGTTTTGCGGGGTGGTGATGGCCTATGGGTAGGGCGTTTCACAGCAGGAATGAGGACTCCGGTCTATTTTGGGGAAGGATCTGCGCTGAAGGGTCACAACCATTGTCAATGTTCGCAGGCTTTGGACCACGACCCCCAGAAAAAGATTCTCGAAACAAACAGTTAAAATAAACGTCTTCTGCAGGGAGGCCTTATGAGACTGCAGTGTACAAACCAGGAGCTTCCTCTTCCCAACAGAAATGTTGTCATGCTAGCTTTAGAAACTGTTTAGCACCAAATTTCATAGAAATCTGTTGAGGGGTAAAGGGTTCACCCCGTGGTTCAGCAGCAGGCTCAGTGTTGGTGTTTCTCCACAGCGTGGAGACCCAAACTCGGACCTGAAACTCAACGAACGGGATTGGTCTGAGGAAGCCTGGGGGAGTGGTTGTTTGGGTTACCCTACTTTCAAATCTCCTCTTGAAAGTCAAGTTGGGAAGAACATGCTCTTACGACGCTAGCTCTTATAAAGCTCATCATTTCTCAAATGACTTTACATGAAAGTGTTTCTGCAGCAGTGTCCTCTTGTATCTTCAGATTTGAACTACTGAAAGTTTTTCAGTTCTCAAATTGCACAACTTTCCATTTTAAGGGCTATTAACCATTGAATCGTTTGCAGTTGACACCTTTTTTGAGTTTTTCCTTTATTTTTCTAAAAAACAGTCATTTCTGTTGTTATGAATGGTGGTGTGGGTTCTTCTTACAGGGACCTGTTCTTATCTTCTACTGACAATCTGATTGGGAATCTCTCTCCTTTCACCTCCTCTTTCACATCAGGTGGCAGCTCCTGCTCTCTCTCTGTCATTTTCACCGATGGCCGTGCTCTTTGGCTCACGGATGCATTCTGATTTATGTTTTCTCTGTGCTGTTTCAACAATAGAAGGTGGATTCTTCCAAAGCTGACACTCTGGAGGCGGCTGCAAAGCCAGAATCACCGCCACCCGTTCAAGAAAAGAAGAAAGCAGCTTCAAAATCATCCTTCACGTCTCTCTTCAAGTCCAAAGTAAGGACTGATTCATGTGAGCCATGAAAATATCTGTCTATTAATTGTGATGCAATTATTTGGCAGTAACAGATCAATGTGAATTTGAGGTATTGTTAGATCACATGAGCACATATGTCCAAGCAGCCTCCACAAGTGGAGCTCGGCTTCTCAGAAAATCGACAGGCCTGGTAAATAAAGTCAAGTTGTGACAAAATGACTTATTAACCAGAGTTGTGTTGGCTATTACATCTGGGATTAAAAAGTGCTCTAAAAACGTCTTCGCTTCCTGTCCATCTCACATAATGCTGCAGCCACTGGATCCTAACAGCAGAAAAACATATCACTTCAAACTTTCTATATGCTCTTAATGATACAGGCTCTGAGGCCACGTGACTTGTACCAATTGGTTTTTCTCAACATTCCTCAATGATTCAGAGTGCTGAGCCCAAGAAAACCACCCTGGCCCCTCCTGCAGCTGAAGCAGAGGCAGCTCCGGCCATCAAAGCCAAGGACGAGCCTAAAGCCGCAGCCAAACATTCAGAGGCAGCTGTCGATAACAAACCAGCATCGGCGGCCTGTCCAGCTGGAGATGATGCAGCCAGTGTGCCCCGAAAACTGGAGAAGAGGAATTCTATCCAGCTGTTCTTTAAAAATCTGGTGAGAAACCCACTGTTGATAGCAAATAAAAACAGACGTAACTCTAACATTTGTTCAGATAAGCTACTGTAAAATGTAGTTGTGCATTGTGTCCACCAGATGGCAGCATCTATTTGTTTTGCTCCTAAAGACTTGACTACTTTGCACAGAGGCAGATTGACTTGCCACATCACATCACATCACATTACAGAATTTAAACCTGAGGCTTGGGCAAGACACTTCACCCACCTCACCTGCTGGTGGTGGTCGGAGGGAACCGGCGGTGCCGAGTGTGTATGGCAGCCCCACATCTGTCAGATAGCCCCAGGGGTCATGTAGCTATATTCAATCAATCAATCAATTAATCAATCAAAGCTTTATTTATAAAGCGCCTTCCGCAACCCTGTCGGGAAGCCCAAAGTGCTGAACATGGTTCAGTTGAAGGTAAATATATTGAATAAATCAAAAATAAAAGCAATTCAAATTACAAGATAGGTGAAACATTCTGGTACCGGACAAATGTGTAAAACAATGGATTGAGTGAACCAATGAAAACTGTGAAATAAATTCAACATAAAAGAGGGCCAAAATCAAACATGTTCAGGGAACGCCGAGCGGAGGAGGTGTGTTTTTAGGTGACTCTTAAAGACTGCCAAAGATGGGGACAGCCTAACTGAGGGTGCCAACTGGTTCCAGAGTGACGTTGCTAGGACTGAGAAAGCCCGCGGTCCCCGCGAGTACGACACCTAGAACGAGGGACAGCGAGCAGGCCTTGTTCAGAGGAGCGCAGAGCGCGTGATGGGGAGTGTCTGTTCAGGAGTGTGGCCAGATAGGGGGGGAGCACCACCCTGGAAGAAATGATAAACAAAGACGAGGATTTTGAAGTGTGAACGATAACAGACCGGAAGCCAGTGCAGGGAGGCCAGAACCGGACTGATGTGGTCCCGTTTCCTGGTCCCAGTCAGGAACCTGGCTGTGCTGTTCTGCACAACCTGTAGGCGACGCAGTGATGACTGACACAACCCTGCATAGAGAGAGATGCAGTAATCAAGCCTAGAAATTACAAATGCATGCAGTACCCGCTCCAGGTGGGCTCTCGACAGCATATGCTTGATTTTTGCAAGGCGTCTCAAGTGAAAGAAACTGGACCGGATCACAGAATTGATGTGAGCATCAAATTTAAGTCCAGCATCAAGTTTCACCCCCAAACTGGTAACAACTGGTTTTGAAAATGGAGAAAGAGGGCCAAGATCAACATAACGATCCACATTCCTGCTGTTGGGGTGAAAAACAATGAGCTCTGTCTTTCCCTCATTCAGGGAAATTTCCCTCATATTGTTGCTTGTCTAATTCCTAGAGAGGTGTTTGTTAAAATTCTGGCCATTTATCATTTGTGTTTGATTCTCAGCTGTGGTCGATGACGTTGCACTGACTTAAAAACAAAAAATTCCACTTTGTTTTCTGTTTGTCTATTCTAGGAACTCATCAAGTCAGCCATGTAAGACTGCTTCCTGCTTTCTCTTTTTGTATTTCAGGGTCAGAAACGCCACTCTACAGACGCCGGGGTCCAGACAGAACCGATGTCTGCAGCTTCTGCATCTGAGAAAACCAAATGAATCCTTTGGGCTTCCCTGTACAGACCCTCCCCTAACTCTGTGTTAATCGTCTTTAACAACTTTATAGAACCAAAAGGAAAATCATTGATAATGGAAAACTAAAGGGAAGTAAACAGAAAACTAGTTAGCAACTAGAGGCCTTAATGGTAACCTTGTTGGGATGAATCTATATTTTTGATCACATAAACATCCTGATAAGTGCAACAATCTGAGAGTGACGCATTTTCTACAGACATTTAGCCCTTATTTGACTTCCTGTTTTATAACATAGTGGACTTTTGCAATATATAATACTTTGCTTCTCTTTTTAATGTTCACCCGGCAAAATTTGCAACACTAAATAATTTATATTTTTGCAAATGATGTTAGCAAATGGAATGACTTTGGGTAATGTAGTTGGTAAATGACCAGCCCTGGACAAAGCTGCAGTAGGGAGCGTGTTTATACAGCAGACTGTGTTTAGATGTATTTACATGTATTTTAGCAGTCCAGTAATCCACACAAGAAAATCCTAAACTTTGCTTCTTTTGAGGGAACTAATTGTAAATACTAATGTTAAGAAATCCCTTGGGAAATTGCAGAATCTTGTGCTAATGTGTCCTTGTGGTATAATTTCAGACCAGTCAGTGTCTAAATCTACTAATTTACCATCTCATAGAGTTTGTCATCTACGTTTGCCATTTGTACTGTATGTACCTCTAAAATCATGCTTCTGTACACTTGTATGCATCCCTGTAGGTTGAGCTTTGTTTTTGGAGACATAATAAATATGTTCTCTCTCTCTCTGTTTCTTCTTTTTCCGTTTGACTTAGAACGTCCTCTATGTATTAAAAGATTTCACAATTAGGTGAATCTATTTCATTTCAATTATAAGATGTCATGTTTTAACTACGTGTTGTGCTGTAAATGTGATGCAAATTCATAATGAGGTGAGGATGCAAAGTCACAATAAGGACATACGGAACAATTTTGAGATAATATCTCATAGTATCATAAGTCCTAATGAGACAGCTGTCATAATTCTAGGAGCATATCTCATTTTAATAGCTTAATAATGAAGAAGTCACACTAAGGTGAAACTTAACAGTTTTGGGATAATATCTCACAAATGAGATGCTATATATGAGATTATAAGAAAGCTTAATTATTAACTTACACACACACACACACACACACACACACATATATATATATATATATATATATATATATATATATATATATATATATATATATATATATATATATATATATAAATATACAGTATATGTATATATATATATATATATATATATGTATGTATGTATGTATGTATACATACATATACATATACATATATATATATATACAGTATATGTATGTATATATATATATATATATATATATATATATACAGTATATATATATATATATATATGTATGTATGTATGTATGTATACATACATATACATATACATATATATATATACAGTATATGTATGTATATATATATATATATATATATATATATATGTATGTATGTATGTATACATACATATACATATACATATATATATATACATTTTTGAATATTTTTTTATTTTTACATTGGAACGGTGTACAGAAACATTTCTCTGACTCATCCGTTTAGAAAGCTGGCATTCTGATCTTATAACTGTATTTAAATATCTGAGGTGTGGCATGAGTCACAGTCCCGTGTGAGATCATCTTGTTCTGTTGTATTTCCCTTTTCGTGAGTATAGTGCCGATAAAAATGCAGCCTGCCCTTGTTCCCCAGCTTTTTACAGTGGGTTACGGTTAGGGTGCGTAAAGAGCTCATTTCACTAGCCGTTAAAGTATTGCTCGTATTAGCAGATAGCATCTTTAATGAAACTAAGTGAAGAAAATGTGATATTTTTGTGAAAGCTGCTTGATAACATTGATGTTTTCATTTCCTTGTGCAGCTATTATGAAAAGCTTTTGGCCTCCTTTGCGGTTAGCATGTTGCCGTAGAGGACTGGTGCATGTCCCTACATGTGTCTGAGACAGTGAGCCTGTTTGTAAAAAGTTTTTTTCTAAATGTTATCGGAACAAATTTCACAATCACTCAACCACACACACCAGAAAACAGAGGTTCAATTGCCAGTACATATAAAATTCAACTATTTTATAACATTTTATATAATTATGTAATGAAACTTTGGGTAAAATTCTAATGCAGTGTGTGGAAATGCACCCATAAGAGGGTGTAAGCCATTCCTTGTGTGGGTCCTGTGTCTGGGTGCATGCAGAGGGCTGTGTCAGGAAGGGCAGCTGGCATAAACCAAATGTAAACATAGAAATCACAAACAGGTACCGGATCAGTCAAGGCCCGGGTTAACAACAACTACCACAGGTGCAGATGACCTACAGGTGGCTGGTGGAAATCACGTGGTAAACAGAAGAGAGGGGGAAGCCGTGTTTGTAGGCAGAGAGAGAAGAGGAAAGGCAAGATTGCAGAACTGAAAGTAGTGACTCTGAACGTTGGCACTATGACATTTAAAGCTAAGGAGTTGTTTGATGTGATGCTGAGAAGGAAGGTGGATGTACTATGTGTTCAGGTGAGCTGGTAGCACCATGCCTGGATGGAAAGAGAAATGGAGTTATCCTGGAAGACGAGTTTGTTACTAATTTTCTGGAAGTGGAGAGTGTCAGAAAGGCCCAGTGTTCTAACTCTTGAAGTTCAAGGACTGATGATGAATGATGTTAGTGGTTATGCCCCACAGGTAGGATCTGAGCAGAAAGGTAAGCAGAAATTCTGGAGTGAGCTAGATGATTTAATGCCACGCATCAGAGTTGAGAGAGTTGTAATTGGTGCAGACTTTAGCGGAGACGTTGGTAAAGGGTTTTCTGAGCACGTCCAACCAGGAGGAGACCCAAGGGAAGACCCAGGACATGCTGGAGAGACCGTCTCTCAGCTGGCCAGGGAAAGCCTCGGGATTACCCCGGAGGAGCTGCCCCAAGTGGCTGGGGAGAGGGAAGTCTGGGCCTCCCTGCTCAAGCTGCTGCCCCCGCGACCTGAACCCGGATAAGCGGATGAAAATGTATGTATGGATGAATGGGTTGGTAATGGTTACAGAGGTGATAACAAAGTTATAGGCAGGTTTGGTGTCAGGATAGGAAAGAAGACAAAGAGAGGGTAGATTTAGTGGAAAGGATGGACATAAATAGACAGGAACCTTTAAGAATGGAGTGAGGAGCACACAGGTGGACTACATCTTATGTAGACGGGGATTAGAAGGAGATTAAATGATAAATGACCTGCATTTCTATTGAGTTTTCTGAGTAGGAGGACTCGAAATACTTTAGGCTAAAGCTGAAACTCTAAACATGAGAATCTTGCCACTCACAGAGGCAAGGCTGCCGCACACACACCAGTCCCTCAGACCACCACCACTAGGAGAGGAGCGTGAAGTTTCTTGCAAGAACACATCGAGTGACAGGTAGGGGTAGGTGAGAATGTTGCAAGAAAGCACTGGATGGTGGTCTGTAGGATAAAAGTGATGGTGAAGAAGATGAAGAGAACAAAGATGGAGAAAAGGACCAGGTGGTGGAAACTGAAAAAAGAAGTGTTGTGAGGTTTTCAGGGAAGAGTGGAGACAAGTTCACGGCGGCCTGGAGGAGCTCCCAGATAACTGAACAGATACAGGCAATTTGATTAGGGATATGAGTAAGACGGTACTTGGTGTGTCATCTGGAAGGAGTGAAGTAGATAAGGAGACTGAAAGGTTCAGGAGCATATATGGAGAAAAAAGTTAGCTAAAAAAAAGTGGAACACAGAGAACTGAGGATTACGGGAAGATGCAGAGTAAGGCGAAGGTAGAGGTGGCAAAGCCAAACAGAGTGTCAGATTCAGAATGCCCTTTATTGTCATTTGAGCAGCATTTAGATAAGTAGAGAACAGTAACGTACAAAATAAAACATCTAAAATAAGGAATGCACAGCATCTCTAGTGAAAACAAGTAGGAACGATAGGTAGAAACCACATTTATTATTGCACAAGTATTAGGTATTTTTCATTTTGAAGTCGGAAAATGCACAGTATATGTAACCATATGTTCAGCTATAGTGCCATCAGGAATGCAGTGGAAATGTGATGAAAAAGTGCAGCGTAGAATGGAGGCAGACTTATTGCACGGGACTTTAGGTGGTTATTTGTTGTGCAGTTTACCATTATTTAAAGTTAGAATATGGATCATTTTAATAAAAAGCTATATTAAATCATAATAATATCTCCACGGGGCGTTTAGAGGTGTGCAGAATGAATGTACAGTCTCCTTTAAAAGATATATTTAAAAATATAATAATCTAAATTTTATTTTGCCGGGCACGACACTGGGTTTATGTTTACATCTACGAGCCACTAGAGGGCAGCATTATGCTAAAAAGTCAGCTCAACAAGGCAAGGCTGGGACTGTGTAAAATGGCAGACTTGACAAGTCAAGCAGCTGATTCTGAGCCCAGAAGATGTTCTAACGGTAAATACTGTTGTAAAATAAACTTATTAGTGGAAATTGGTCCTTATCCTGTACGATTTGTCTCTGAACATGGTGCTGGAGCACGTCAGCAGTGAACCAACATCCCTCCAACTGGAAATTTAGTTCTGTTGTTGCAATACCACTTCTGAAAACCAGAGTTCACCAGAGTGTTTGCCAGCGTCCATGTTTCTTAATTTCATAATAAACCTTTAATGTGTTCATTGCTACTGGGAACAAACTGTTTCTTAATCGTCTTCCTGGGCTCTGTGTGACCTGTGGCGACATTGTCAGTACCAGATCTGCTCGGGGACCTGGGCCTGCCGATGACATCACCCTTTTTTGCCATCTTTTGAGATGGCACATGACATACAACACTTTCAGGTATTTCATCCTCATTCTCAAAAAAAAAATTAAAAACAGGCTTGAGAGAACTGTTATGCATTCTAATTTTAGCTGGTTAGGCGTTTGCTCCACTTGAATCGGATGAACCTAAATATTTGTGTATTGTGCTAATTAAAGGAATCATTGGAGATGCATTCACTGTGCATATTCAAGTCCCGTCATGTTTTGTGGACCCCCAATTAATGGCTTGCAGACCCCTGGGGGCTTGAAGACCACTGATTACTTTGTTCATGTACTGTAAGAAGTTGGTTGTGGTAAATTGGGGCTGAATTTGTTTTGATTCTTTCTTTTGTTAGCATGACTGTTTCACTGTTTGGCTGCTTCATTTGTTTACGCACTAAGTTTATACTTCTAGCACTCTTTTTAAACATAGTTTTGCTTTCCAAATTGAGATTTTCGATTTTGTCTGTTAGAGCAACTTCCATTGAAATATTTTTTAAACACAACTCTGTAAAACAATTACCACTGTTCTCCTTTTATCCAAAGTACTTGAGAAATAAAACTTCTATAATACTTGTGTGTTTGGTCTATCCCCGTGGTCACTATCTACATAACAGTTTTCCAAGAGATGCATTTTCACATTAATGTTTAGAGACTGAAGGCTTCTCTGTTTTTTAATGAACTCTTCAAAGTCAGTCCTGATACTTCAGCAACTGTGTAAGGTATAACAGAAATAGCTGCTTTAGATAAACAAGCAAGATGCACTGCAGTTAACCTTTGATTTATCTGGGAGTAAATCAATAGTTCATTTGCAAAAACAGGTTCTTAACATTCTTGTGTTAAAATAGCTGCTCCACTTTGCCTAGAGTTAGAACAGGAACACACTGGTTCATGTGTAGCTGCAGCAAGTCTATGAATCTTTTGTAGTGAGACTAAATCTGCC